TTAGTGCGCACAACACACAACTTTCACTTACCTTTCTTCTTTGAATAGAAATTACTTTCTGGAAATGTTGAGCAATTATAAAATTTTTGAAGTGCACTTTTAACGGGTCTATAGCATAAAGTTTACTGCTAACAAATCATTAACATCACTAAAATAACAGAAACCCTATTAATTATATCAACGGTAGATAATAAAAACCTCCCTACCCCATATTTTTTCATAAACCTCATAACTCCGGTCTCTGAGCAATATACATATGTCTAGAGAGATTTTAAAGTATATCTCTATATTCAACCTATAAATGATTATGGATTCTATGCCTATTAGTTATTAAACTGTTATTTTCCATTGTAAAGTTTACTATAAAGAGATTACGAGATTTTCATCGCCTGTCATAGATAGCTCAAAAGTTTTTACACTAATTTAACAAAGGGAAAATTCATCAAATTACTCACTAATTTATTTTTTTTTAAATGTTATACGACGACCAACGGACGTTGATACCTAATTATTTAAATATAATATCAGATTTAGAATTATTAAAACTATAGTAAATGTATTTAAGGTTATAAACATAGGCTTTATACATCCATGAAATATTTTTATATTTCACTTCTTTCACATTAGTACTATGAAATAGCTTTTTTAACAATAACATTGCGTTGATTAGGTGAATTTTAAATAGTTTTTTCAAACTTAAAAACAGTTTAAATTTAGTTAGTAAATTTCATTTATTTAATTTCCTTGAAAAAATGAGATTTCCGTTAAATAATATTAGTTTACACAAATTATTATTTATAATAATCTCTCTCCATTACTTTCTATATTTCATATTGTTTTTTTCTAAAATTATCCGCTTTCCAATGATATAACTTCTGACAAGTATTTCCGGTAATTCATTTTCATCCTCAATACACATTTTCCCTTTTTTCTTCATTTTTCAATTATCAAATTCTTTCATAAGTTATATTTAGCATTTTTTCGTAATTCTTAATAATGAGAGATGGTTAATTATTAAAAATTAATCAAATTAAAGGTACTTTAGAGGATGAAATGTTGAACATTTAGGCATTTAAGCTATGTAAAGTGACATTAATGGGGATAAGACCTCAATGATATTAAAGACCACTTAATTATACAATAATACACGAGTTTAATCAAAATTTTCTGTGCAACCAGCTTTCTGTCTTTCAGTAATAACAAACAAATCATTATAAACTACAAAAATTAAATGAAGATATTATTTGCCATTAAATGAATTATGGAAGTTTGTTAGCGGAAGGGTTCATATAAATAAAATTAAATAAGATATAATGAAATATAACATATATTTTTGAACATTTTTACATAATATATTTTAAATAACAAAACTTTTAATCCATTACTTGTTTTTCCCATTTTTCATTACTTATATATATTTATTTGATTTATTACATTTCCATATATTTGCTATTTGTACTTATCATCTTTTTGAGTGTCAGGTATATATATATCATAACCTTTCGTACTTATTCATTACCTTTTATTATCATAAACTAAGTTTTTGTTAATTCATCTAATTACATTTTATTATTCATATCTAATTAATTATTCCATTTTATGTTTCTTCTTCATTTAATACTACTCTTCATTGTTTATTTCCGTTTTATAGTTGAATTGAAATACTTTATAAAACCAATTATGTCAAGTTCCACTTTTGGTAATATTATTTCAGCCAACAATTTGCCCTAACATCGCTGCCATACTCCTATCTACCTTAATAAATAAGTATAATCACTGAACTTTTCATTTTTTAGCTAGATTCTGCATTTACACAAAAAAACCATTAAGCAAAAAGTTTTTTTATGTTTTTGAAAACTCAGAGTTGAAATTTTTAATGATCCCAATACTTCGCATTACATTAAAATCAAATAATATCCATTTTCACATATTATTTAGTCAATATAAAAAAAAAAGTTCAAAATTTATTTATTTTTTAACCTATGCTTATTCTACTTTAGAGAGTTGAAAACAAGTATTCATTATTTTTTTAAAATGATCAGTTTATCAGTTTCTTTTTTAGTGCCCATATTTGTATCGGTCTGTCAACTAATTTTACATTTCACAGACATTAGTGTTAATCTACATCTGTTTTTTTTTCTTTCTATATCTTCAGTTCAAATAAAACCGAACAACTCACAAAATTACTAACCTAGACTCTAATAAAGTTGCATCAATAACATTTTAAGCACATATTGAAACACCATAATACAATACTATATTTGTAATTAAATGACTGTATCATGGTTAGAGACTAACATCATACAGTGCCAATTTTGATGCCTACTTCAATAAATAATCAACCATCCTAAGCCTAAAAAAGTTATATTTATATAAAACATTGTCTGATTAAAATAACAATTAAGTCTAAGTGTGGAAATTTTAACCACATAGTGAGACTGCCTTTGTTTTGTTATTCGCATTTTTAATTTTAGAAATTTGACATATACCTATCATTTATTGGTTATTTATACACAAGTTGTAATATATATGTTTGAAGGGAAATGATGGAAGATGTTATTTATAATACATACAACCCATATATTTGCAAAATATAATAAATCATATACATAAACTAAATTTAATAATTATAATGTTTCTGGAAAATTAATCTTTATATCTTAACTTTGTTATTATTATACAAAATAGAAATTCTATTAATGAACAAATAAATATTTTTAGGTTCAAATATACAATAAAAAATATAAATGAATTAATAAAACATACAAATTAATGAATACAAGATATGTTTTTGTTTATACATCATGAATAAAGGAATTTAACATTACAAATAAAGCATTTTTAAATGCATCAGAAAAAGCTGAATAATAACTAATGAGTATTCTAATAATTTACTGGATTATTCTCCATCTTCTTCAAACACCTTTAAAAAGGCTTTATTAATAATATGTCTTTTTGGAGGTACAACCTTACTAGTATTTACAGAAAAAGTGTCTGTTTTATATTTTTTAAATGGCCCAGCATGTTGCTGGAAAATCACTCTTTATGGTGCATTCGCAATACCACGGGCACAGGCTGCCATTTTGTTTAAACTAGTGCTGGTTTCAATATTACAAATATTTTTATTCCACAAAGTCCGCACACATCTTCCCCAAGCCTCGTTCCATTTCACATATGCACAAACTTTGTTCTGGTTGAGGTAATTGGTCCAACCCTTCTCCTAACATGGACCCATAATTCTGTGCAATTGTTTTGGGTTTATTTGTATTTCCGCACTGTTTTTCTATTATTTGGACGAGTTTATTGAACGGGGCCATAATTTCCTCTCCGCCTTTGTTTGATTTTTTTTTTTTGTCTTAGGCTGCAATACATACCGTTGTTCAATAAAGATGAATCATCGAGTACTTCAGCCTGTCCTTCATGTTCACACTCAACAGTAGGGGAACGCTGAAAAAAAAAAAAATTACCAATCTTAGGCCTGGTATCATCCAACTAAAAAATCAGATTTTTTAATTTCGTTATAATTTTTTCCCTTCTATTTTTTGCGATGCTTATAACACATTTGGTTGAGATTTTCATTTTTAGAGGAGGGTCTATGTCTGGCACACTTTAAGACTCAATTTTACAGAGAACAAATAAAAGCTATGTAACATTTACATTAATAATGAAAGTCGAGAAAAAACAAAACTAATCCTTAATTGAAATAGGAAACAATGAAATCAAATTCATAACAGAAGAAAATAAATAATCTGGTAAACAGATGTGGAGGGTTAAGGAAACAAGACAGAATGGCTAAGGCATCATAGGGCATTTTCTCTTTATAGTCATTACCCTATGTACATTGTTTTGCTATATGAAAAAGTATAAAAAAAAAAAAAAAATAACTTAATCATAGACTAGAAAGGATATCAAAAACTAACAATGAACTTCCAATTAACTAAATATAAATAACCAGTTGAATGCTAAATAATTAACACCCCTTGTCCATTGTTTCCTTTGCGATGATGTACTTAAGTTGGACGTTAGAAAAGAAAATAGAACTAAATTAACTTACTACAGACTTAATTGATTGTTTGAATTGAAAAATAATAAAGTAACACTTGCAAATTTAGTAAAAGAGGAATTAACCATTCACTAAATTGTAAAAAATGTCTATACAGTAAATCAAAGAACCTCATAAATAAATGGAGAAAAAAATTTTTAAATGCATTCCTTGAATCAAACAATTGAAAAAATATTGGCAGCTCATTGCAAAGTAATTAAGTGAAAATTCATTATTTCTTAAGTAATCAAGAATTTTGAATATCTTTTTCTTTATAAAATCAGAAAATTGTGTGCTTCTTGTAAGTATAATTGATGTATAAAAGGGTTTGTTTCATTTCCATGCCCATACAGTGTTTTTGTATAGGTAAAGTCAAAATTCCAAAAAAAAATCTTGAAAGTTAACCTATATCAAATATGCACATAGTGCATGAATTGAATGCAGTAAACGGAGGATATATCAAGAATTTTCACTGGTTAGAGAATTAATAATTGACTATGTTTAACGGAAGGAAATTGACAATCCAAGCAATTGTGTGTGAAAAATTACATAAAATCGCGTTAATTGGTTTTACAGAAATATATTTTGAAAAACAAGGTAAAATGTATTTATAGAGAAATGTCATAGCAAAGAAATAAACAACTGATATTAATAAGGAAAACTAAGATCAATTTTATGCTTACCTTGTATGATTCTCATGAATTTTCGACATCTGTCATCTTCTTTGTTTTCTCCACTTATTTTCTTCTACTTGCTTTTTTTTTATAGAAGACATAACCAAAAGTAGCAATCAACCCCACGGCAATTCTAGAAGGTCCATGTTGTTTGACTTGGACTGACTCCGTCCTACTGAGCACATTTTCCATGGTTAACGAGCTTCGATTAGTTCCTTATTTTGCCGCAAGTTTGCCAGAAATTTTGCCAAACCGAGTTTGCCTGTAGTGTGGGCCCAGCATAATAAAAGTACAAGGTACACGAAAAAAACATGGAGACTTACAATTGAGGGAGGTTGCAAACAAGTCATTCAAAAGTAGTGTAAATTGTAATTGTGGGTTATTTATTAAAGTAGACTGTCAGGCACATTATAAGTTTGTAAAAATGAAGAGCTCTATTATTTGTGCATCGTTGACATTTAGCATATGTGTATTTTTATGATGGGTCTATATAATTTAAGACTTTTATGATGTCTTAGCTAATAGAATTTGACGATATTTTAATACTATTAAGTAGTATCAGTTTACTTTCTCATAATGGGTACTGAAATGCAAGTAGCAACATTAGTGTCAGAAATTTTGGTAATTTTATTTTATTTTTGTGATTTTGTATATCATGCCTAGTATCATACTATTGATGTTTTATTTTTTTGGGTGGTTTAGAAGGTTGATGCTATTGAAGAAGCATTCAGTTGTTTCCTAGTGCATAGACCCAATGAAAAACACGGAATGCTTCTTGTTGAACTTCAGAATGCTTTTACGAGCTCTCCATCTGAGCAAGAAATAGGAATCAAGCAATTTTTAGCTATTGCTGCTACAATGACAAATCATAGTAGGCTTCATTTACTTTTTTCATTTTTAGAAAATCTTGTGACCAATGGGTCTGTTTCAGCTAGGTAAGCAATTATTCTAAAATTCAATATCTTTTTAATATTAATTTGATGCTACAAGTGTTGATCCACTTTGACGAGGGGTCAAGATCTCATCATCACATTATAAATGTGATTCCAAAAATGGCTGATAGATAATAAGTTGTTCAGGATATAAACTCGCATCATATAAATCGTGATTCACTGTTTTACAAACTACTATCAAGTCCTTATTTGTCTAAATTTATACATTAATTAGCTTTAATTAAATGACCAAGCTCACTTAAAAGGGATAAATCACCTCCCTACAGTTCCTCTATAGTGGAGGTCAGAACCTTATAAGAGAGTCATTCACCTCTGTCATTTTGAACATATTTGGGCATTCTCCATATTTAATTTACAGTGTGATCATGGGTATAGTGGCACCTATTAAAGCGAATCAACACATGCACTTTAGTATCATTCATTTAAATTGATTTTCACTATTTTGTTTATGAACTAAATGTCAATACCACATTTCTAATCTAATTATATACTGATATCATGTGCATAATATGTATGATATTGTGTGCAGAGTATATATATATTTTTTTTTTATTCTTACGCCTCTTGAGTTCTTGGACTATTAATTATAGTATGTATTTTGTAGGATTCACCATAAATTAGAAACTGTTATAAATCTCTCTAATAATTACAGGCTTAGTATCCTAAGATTCAATGCTGATACCACTAATCGTTACCTACATACTTCCATCCAACCCCAATCCTGCAAGATCATCCTTAACAGAATCCTCTCACCGATGCTCCAGTTTACTCCTTGGACACTTTCTATTTTGCCAAGTGCAAATTTACCCATTTGAGTTTTTTTTTGTCACTAAGCCTAACAATTTCAAATGACTGTTTTATCCACCACTAAACCATCTATTATATTTAGTGGGCTACATTACTAAGCATATTTTTGCTTTCACTTACCTTTATATGAAATGTATAGTAAGCGAAAATTTTCGAATTCGAGTTTTCAATGAAAATATATTGAGGTCTGCTGAATCCAAAAAATCAAGTCTCTCAAAATGGTCTGTGTGTGTAAACATTCTTGGTCAAAAACAAAAAGTCATATGAAAGTGAAATTGCATATTGAAGGTTTGTATATGTCTTGAATGTTACAGCAACTTTTTTGTTAAAATTGGCTCACCGGAAGTGGCACTTTATATCATCAATTTAACACATCTTTTTGAATTTCCTCGAAAACTGCTCTAACAATTTTGATTAGATTCATTATATCAGTGTAAAATTAAGTAGCTTTTAACATAATGTAGGTTTTATTCTCATTAATGTTCTTTAACAGGGCTTAAATGGCTAATTTTCATTATTTCTTTCTCTAAAGTTCCTTGAATTTTTTTAATTTGAAATAATTAACCATTTCAAATTAAACTCTGATATAAAAATATGAAAGAATTTTATAATTAACTAAACGAGAAATAAGAGATCATAACAATGAATAGTTGTAATAGAGGCACCAAAGAAATACGAGCTCGCCCGAGCACTCCCGAAAGATTAGAACAGGCTTTTATACGTAATTTGAGCTTAATATAATATGGACTGACAATATTATATGCAGTTTTTATAAATTCAATTGTTAGTGTTATTTAAAATTTAATTGTATAGATTACTGCGATATAAAAATTAAAAATTTGTATATATACTGGTACTTAAACAAATAAAAATACCCGCAATGAAATATAACTAAATATAGAACCCTTCTTTATCGGTGGCACTCTTGTTAGACTAAAAATATTTAGTGGCACTTAATTATTTATTATGATCAAATAAATAATTGAATTATACAGTTGTAAAAGAAAATGGCTGATATCAAATGAAATAAATAAAATACATCAGACAGCTATGAAAAACATGTGATAATTAATTGTTTTAAATAATCTTTCATACCATCTATAATTTTGCTTTTACGTCTCTTTGTATGAAAATAAATATTTCAGCGAAGAAAAGTGTGGTAAGTGAAAGTTGTGCGTTGCACGTATCACACCAGATTTTTTTCTTAAAAAAAAAAATTAAGTTCACAAAGTGTAGAGCCTATGATGGATGAGGGTTAAGGAATTCTCTTTAATATTCTTGAGTCTAGAGGCACGGGTTGGAATCCAGCCTGGGTCAGTTGAAATTAATTTTGTAGTTAACTCTCCTAATGAATCTTGACTTTCTCGCTCTGGTTTGAATAGGCTTGTTTTTTGTAGAACAAGCTCCTTTCTCCTTCCCTCTGTATTCAATTCATTAGTCCTTCCTATTTCCTGCTCCCTGTTATTTGATTGACGCAGACTAAAAAGAAAATAGCCAAGGGACCTACTACAATAAATACAAAATGAAACTAATCAAGCAAACTCGCTACTAATCCCTAATATATCAAATTTTTTAGGTGCGCTGCAGCGCAGGTGCAAATGGCACAAAATGTTAAAATAAATAAAAATAAAAACAGAAGATAAATAACAAACAAAAAGTATATACAATAAGTACAAATAAATTGAACTTAAAGATAAATTAAAGTAAAACAACAGAGACTTCCAAACCAGAGGAATTCTGAACCAGGCTTGTCCCTCCATTTTTGGACTTTTGTTAGGGGAAAAGCAGATCCTTTAGAATAGACATCTTTAAAATTAAGTTCTTAAATTCAGCACTAATTCTATCAATGGATTTCACCAATCGATTCAACCCAGGATTGATGGACAACGTTTTATGCTGATTTTAGGAGTGAACTGATGAGTTTCATTGGAAGGTTTACACTCCTAGAAGGTGTCTGAACACAAGAAAAAAAAGTATATAAAAAATATCTACCTACTGCATTGGTAAATTTCAAAACAGATACAGATTGGACAAGTTCCTTAACTCGGTGCTCGTTCCTTAAGCGTTGAATTCATCAATGATATCATTTCGCTCAGTTTAGAGACGATCTAATCCCATCGATGAGATGAACACTGAGTTTAAGTTTAGGAACTTATCCATAAAGATAGGAAGTAAACTGAATATTAAAATATAAAGTAAATTAAGATATAAAGTGAAGTTTCATCCACTGGATCCATCTACACCAAAAAAGCGGACGTAATAAGCTAGCAATTTATCGCCCTAAAATTTCTACCTTACCCTACACCAAAAACCATTGGAGTCGCTAATCCTTCAGTGATTCAATCAATGAGTTTAAAAACTTTAACATATATTTATATGTTTGTGGGAAATATTTGCTATATTTCGTGAAAATATAATTTTTGAATTCTATTAACTTTAAACTTTTCTTGTAGTTCTTGAGCTCTGCTATTATCCCCTTTAAATATTTTCTTTTACTTAAGGGATACCCTATGTATATTTTTGGCATTGTATATAAATATATATATTTTTTTAGAAACTTAATCCAAAATAATTCTTCTCTAGGTTAGTTTGTGAATGCATACTTTCCTGTGACAAACTTACACATACACTTGAAAATTTTTGGATTGAGAGCTTTAATCTTATAAAAAAGATCATAACAGGTGTTGACTACAAGGGTGTTCGAGAAATAATGAAGGTATTTTTATTACTTCAGTTTCTATTATATACAATTATTGTCTACTAATCTTTCAATTGTTGCTATAATGAATTTTTTATGAATATTTCAAGGGTTGTTGTGAGAAAGCTGCTACAATACCTCCACTATTAAATGTTGCAGTGGTACATCAAATGAAGGCCTTAGAAAATGTTATGAATATGATATTTGATCGCAATGCTTGTCTTCTTCCTGCTTATTTTATTGTAAATGAAATTCAGAAAGTTTATCCTAATGGAAAAAATTGGCCTCATTGGGTGGGTTATGTTCTTTTGTTTTATAACTTAAGAATGTTTTGTTTTTAAATTAGATTTTTGTTTATAGAAGCTTGCTGAACAGTTGTCATCGTTTGTGGAAAGCTTTCGTTCAACTGCACAGATGGTATCAATTATTGGCCATTCTACAATGCTACCAGTTGTTGAACATTCAGGTTATGCTGATCACCTTATTAATCCGTGGAAACTAGATCCTCCTACTTTGAAATTATCATTGAAAGGAAACCTTCCTTATGATAAAAGCCTTCTTGAACCTCAGACTCACCTTTTAAGATATGTTCTTGAACAACCGTATTCAAGGGATATGGTTTGTTCCATGCTTGGATTAGTAAAACAGGTATGTTTTGGTAAATTTTTCTTCTTTTTTTTTTATCATTAATAGTGGATAATCCATTGCTATTGGACATATTTCTATTAATTTATAAGAAAAGATTCCTTTTGCAGAGGAAAAATTTTTGTAATTCATGGCTATCCAAATTGGAGATTAGTTAGTACTCTTATTTTGAAATTTTACAGAGCAGTTTCCCTCCCTTCCTTCACTGACTATACCCCTTTGGGGATAGATTGTCTCTTAAAGTGACTTGAAGGCTAGAACTGCTATTCATTTTAAGCTATAATAAAGTACAAACCCTGTTGTTGACATTTTACATTTTGTTCTGATTATTTTATACTTAGGCCGGCCGCAAATTGAGCGCAGTATAGGGGCAACGGAGGGGAGACATAGCAACTACTTCAGAGCCATCTTCAAAAATTGAATCCAGCTAAGTATGTGCCTCGTTCCGATAGATGTGGACTCTTAGCTATTGTTGACATCGGGTACGAATCCGACAAAGAAAACAATATACAATGTTTGCCTTCAGTATTATTTAAAAAACAAAAGGCAGAGAAACCTCAGAATTTGTTGACAAGTAGTAACTCAATTTGTGCGCATGGGAGGTGCAACTTAGGTCCAACAGAAGGACAACAGAGGACCCAGTTTAGAGCCCTCTCAGTGCAGGCAGGGCTGTTTCTGGAGGGACTGATAGAATTAAACAAATTATATTGGGTTGGAAAATAAGTCCTTTCCGTTTTTCTGTTTACTTTTTAAATGTCACTATGATGCTCTTATTATGTGATGAATTAATCCCTAAGGTGGATTGTTTATCCTATTTGTAATATGTCAACAACTATATCTGTTAACTCTTGTTGAAACTAGCTTTGTATTGTGTTTGCTGTTGCACAGTGAATATGGAAGAAAATATCATTCATTATGGGTATATTTTGTCGTATTATTTTAAAAAAGGTTAGCGTGCTGCAGAAGCTCATAAAAAAATTTGCAGTGTTTATGGGGGTGATGCTTTAACCAAATGCACCTCTCAAAATTGGTTTGCCAAATTTAGGAAATTTTGACATCAATGATGCTCAACGGTCTGGTCACCCACATGAAACTGAAACGAGCAATGTTAAGGCCATTGTTGATCGAAATCCCACCCAAGCAGTTCGAGACATTGCTATGTTCCTAAATGTGTCGCCCATAAGTGTTTAAAACGATTTGCACAAGCTCGCCCATGTTTCCAGGCTTAATGTTTTGGTCCCTCACTCTCTAACCGAAGTCAACTTGGCAACACGCATTTCTGTTTGTGATTCACTATGGAAAAGGCAACAAAACAACCCATTTTTGAAAAGGTTGGTAACAGGAAATGAAAAATGGATATTTTACGATTATGTAGTCTGTAGAAAATCTTGGGGACCTCAGTAGTGAGGCTCCTAAAAAAATATCAGATAATGCTTTCCATATGGTGGAATTTCATGGGTGTTATTTTCTATGAGCTATTGCCATCAGGACAAACAATTGATTCAACTCTATACTGCTCAAAATTAACCAAATGGGATCAATCAATTAAAAATAAAGGCCCAGAACTGGCAAATCGGAAGGGTATTGTGTTCCACCAAGACAATACTAGACTCCATACTTCATTGGTCACTCGCAATAAATTATTGAGCCTTGTATGGAACCTTTTGCCCCACCCTCCCTATTCTCTAGGACTAGCTCCAAGTACCACTTATTCCGGTCTCTGCAGAACTCCATGCATGGAAAGAAATTCCAAAAGGAAGAGGACATCAAAAACCATTTGGTTCAGTTTTTTAACAATTAACTCCAGACATTCTATGAACATGGCATTATGCAGTTATTGGAAATATGGTAAAAAGTCATATTAAATAATGATCAGTAAATTGTAGATTAAAATAAATTTTATTTCTATAATACATTGCCTCGCGCGGGCTCATTACTGCGTATGGGGAGCGTCCCACGGGTGGCGGATGTGGGGATGGTTGGTGGAAATTTCTTGGAAGTTCCTCCCGGCTAAGTCCGATAACTAAAAAAACGAAATTGAAGAAGAGATTAAGGTTAGACTGAAGGCGGGAAATGCTTGTTATTTATCTGTATTTCTGACAAAACTACTTAGTTCGCGCCTCTTGTCCCGGAACTTAAAAATTAGAATATATAAAACAATTATCTTGCCTACAGTTCTTTATGGATGCGAAACTTGGCCGCTTACATTAAAGAATGAGCAGTATCTTAAGGATTTGGAAAATAAAGTATTGCAAAGAATATTCGGACCGAAGAAGGATGAGTTAACCGGAGAGTTCAGACGGTTACACAACGCCGAACTGCGTGAGCTGTATCCGGGTAATATAATTGAGGTAATTTCATCGTGGCGAATCAAATGGGCTTGTAAAGTTGTTGGGCTTAGTAACGAGAGAATTCCTAAAAGGATATTATTTGCTGTACCGAATGGTAAGCGTCCGAGGGGTAGACCAAAGCGAAGGTAGGAAGATTGCATTAAAGCCAATCTGAAGGGACTGGGTTTGGACGGTGAACGGTGGAGGGAGGTGTGTAATAAGCGATTGCCGGTGTCGGCATCGAACCTTAGGGTTCGCTAAGCCTTTTATTATTATAATACATTGAGTTTTATTTCACCCTGAAAAACAGAAAGGATTAATTTTCCAACCCAATACTTCTTATCTTACGTTGTTTATTATAGTTTGGAATTACTACTAATAAGGATTGAAAAATAACTGAAAATTCAAATTTCTCAATAATAAAAGAAAAAAATTAATATAAAAGTCTGAAATAGTGGATAAAATTATATATGTTATTTGTTACTTAATTAAAAATTTTTTGAAAAATGATTGTGTTATTTGTTCATGTTAAAATTAAAATTAATTGCAAACAAAATTATCTACACTGTTTTTTATTTCTCCTTATTATTTTATTTTATATTATTTATACTAAATCTGTTAAGTTCCCATCTTCACGCCATTCTCGGGGATATCTAAAAACATTAATAAACATAAAATTATATTTTTTATGACTGTGAAGCATATTATTAAAATATATGCTGATTATTTGCTTATTCATTATTGTATTGTTCTCTTATATGAATGTATAATTATGAAAATCTTAAATTATGAATGTTCAATTTAATGAAATTATTAAAAATTGAAGTTAAGTATTTAAATAAAATTATTATGAATGTATAATTATGAAAATCTTAAATTATGAATGTTCAATTTAATGAAATTATTAAAAATTGAAGTTAAGTATTTAAATAAAATTATTTATTTCAAGGTCTAAATGGGAGTCTTTCTTGACGTTGAACAGGCCTTTGATAGAGTCTGGCATCCGGGACTGATGTACAAACTCCGTAAATTCCTACACCTACATACTTCGTCATTATCCGTTCCTACCTTACTGACAGATACTTCAAAGTCAATCATAACAATGCTTATTTATCTCTTTTTGCTCAGTTTTCCGGTGTTCCTCAAGGTAGTATCCTAGGTCCTATTCTTTACACAGTTTAGACAGCTGACATCCCAACCCAATTCAACACTGTCATCACCATCTATGCCGATGACACGTGTATCCTATCAGTTAATAATGATCCATCCATTGCATACCAAACTCTTCAATCACACATTACAAGTCTTGAAAAATGGTGTCAAAACTGGCAGATTAAAATAAATTCCATCAAATTACCTTCACTCTTCGTCGTAAACCTATGACTTCTTGTCCTACAGTATCCTTCAACAATAGCCCTCTTATCCCTGTCGAACAAATCCGATACCTAGGATCCATCTGGACAAACGACTCACTTGGAACCCCCTTACCAGACTGAAACGACTAGAAACCTCCTGACGTTTTCGGCTACTGCAGCACTTACTAGACAAACGCTCCAAGCTTTCAATCAATTACAAACGACTCATATATTTGACAATAATAAGACCTATTTGGACTTACGGAATTGAGCTTTGGGGCTCCACTAAACCATCGAATTCCTCTCGTATCCAATCCTTACTATCCAAAATCCTCGATGTTCCTTACTTTGTCACAAATAAAATAATCCATTAAGACCTTAATGTTCCATATGTTTCCAATTTGGCCCAATCCAGATACCTATCCTTATATAACAAACTGTAGAACCATCCGAACCCTCTCTTTTCAAACCTTGCTTCCTAATATAAAACTTTAATTTGAGTTCTACCAATGGGTAATTTCTCTTCATGTTGTACATCTCATGTTACCAATGTCACATTTACTTGTTGTATTTTTCATGTAATATAGTTGTAAATTTCATTAAAATAAAAAAATGTCTAAATAAATACTTATTTAAATAATGTCCACCTTTGATCAGAACTAGACTACATACTGAGCTAGGACGGCTCAGAACTGGGTCCTCTGTTACACCTATGTTGCGCCTGCCCTACACTCAATTTGTGGAGAGCCGTAAGGTTGATCAGAGATGACAACTTTCATTCAATTTGCTTGTTCAAGCATTAAATGAACCCCCAAGAGTAGTGGCTGGGCTAGGATACTTGTCATTAGTTACAGAAGGAACAGATATGTGTTTGTTTCAATACATCCAATAATTATTTTGTTTTATATTAAATACAATCACTTTGTAGAAGACTTTTTATGTGTGTTGGTGCATGTACAAAAATTAAAGAAATGATTTAGCATGCTTAGTAGTATGTTATAACATTACAAGAAACTTATATTGTCATTTTAATCTTTAATTAAAAATAATTCTTGCATAGATATGCATTAGCAGTCAAGAAACCTATTTGATAATTACAGGTTAATATAGTGATTCAAGAGCTGCTCTCTCGAATATTACTTTCAGTTTTTATATTAAACCCAAGTTGTTTGTTTCAGCATAAGCAGCGGTGTGTTGCTCTTGAAGAACAGTTGGTGGAACTAATTATGGTGGCTATGGAGAGAACTGAAACTGAAACTACAAATAGTGATACAATGAATACAAATAGCCATTGGCTCTGGCTTCATCTTTCTTCGCAGCTTATATATTTTGTTTTGTTCCAATTTGCCAATTTTTCAAATATTGTGATGGCCCTACATGATAAGGTAATTGATTGGTAAATCAACTTAGTAACTGTTATTTATGTGACAGGTCATTTGAGAATGTAAATGATTACTATTAATATGACTGACAACAGGATGTTACAGACATGGGGTCTCCGATTTCAATGAAACTTTTTGATGATGCTTCTAGGTCGAGAAGTATTTTATATAATTTCTAACCATATTTTTGTTAGGAATTTTATGTTATTATAAACCATGATTCTTCTTGTGCAAAATAAGAAAAGAATATTGATTATGGTATTAAATTGGTTATAAAGTATCTTGATAACAAACCAAAAGGCGGATCCAATAAAGTAGACCATGTAAATTTTTGTAATATAAAAGAAAATTACATTAGTTTTTAGTGTTATTTTAGACTTGTAAATAAAAATTTTTAGAGATATTAAAATTGCAAATTTTATTACTTGATTTTCTCGAAGGATTTTTTTTTCTGGCCTTTCTCTAAAGCATTTATAACTTCTCAAGATTTTCTTCAAATTCAATGCCTGTATAACCATTTTTTTTTTTTTTTCAATTTGCTCTATAGTCCTTAATGGACCTGGGCGTCAGAAACAAGCTTCCACTAGGCTTTCCTATTGCTAGCTATTCTTCTCCATCTTCTGATACTCGTGCAGCTGAGGTCCGTCCTCCTCCACGTCGTTGATCCACCTCAGCCGGCGTTTTCCTCTGAGACGCGCTCCTCCAGGGCGGTTATAGAGAAGTTTCCTAGACAACCTATTCTCCTCCATTCTCTCTACATGGATCCTTTTGACAGTGGCTATAATGTCATCATTTTTATACAGCTCATATGGCTCATCATTTTTCCGTATTCGCCACTGGTCATTTATTTTCTTCGGACTGTATATTTTCTTTAGGACTTTTCTCTCCCAGATTATCAACAACCTCTCAATTTCCTGTGTCAGAACCCATGTTTGACACCTGTAGGTAACGACTGACCTTATAATGGTTTTATAAATTATCACTTTTGTACTCCAGGTCAGTTCCTTGGATTTCAGTATTTTTGCCAGAGCATAAAAACATTTATTGCCAGCTGTAATTCTGGCCTTTATTTCGGCCTGCATTTTGTTCTGGTTGTATTACTCAGAGGTATTTGATTCATGGTATTCCGAGGCATTTATGTTCTTAATATTCATTAGGGCATGTCTAATTGAGTTTTTGATAATAAAACCCATCCCAAGCAAGTTATTTCTCTCTGTAGTAGAGCAAAGAATCACTGTGTATTCCTTCAGGTTGACTATTTCTTTTGCTTTCCATCTAATCTCCTGTTAAGCCACAATGTCCATCTTATACCTCTGCTGCTATCTCTCCAACATTTTACTAGTGCCAGGTTGGTAAAAACTTCTTATATTCCATGTTGCCAGCTTTAGTAGCCCTTGTCGTGATTGTCGTGACCGTAGATCCATCCGGCTATTTTCTTGTTCCTGTTTCATTACAATGATTTTTTACCGGTATAGGGTTGTTAGCCCTATAACCACCCCCTGACTTGGAGGACCAGGATTTTCTGCAGGGGTTGACTCCCTTAGCCTTTGAACATCGTTCTATCCCGCAAGGCAGCGGTGGAAAGGTATGGATGGGTAAAGGAGGAAGAATAGGATAGGTAATTGGCCAATGATAGAAAGGAGTAGGTAATAATGTCAACGGACAGTTGCCCCTTTAGTCACCTTCTACGACAAGCGGTTAAGCACTATGGGCCTATTCTATTATCCTCGAACCCACAAGAGGGTGTGTAACCATTTGAAAGCTGAATTACTGCTCTTAGTGCCATGAAAATTCGTATTTTAGCATTTTTTGAGGTGTGAAAAATGAATACAACTTTGTTTCTCCTTAAAAAATTCTTTACTCTATGTACCAGTCCTGTTTAGAAAACATATTATATTTACCCGATAGCTATGGGAACGAATTTCACCAATTGACGGGGGAATGAGGGGATAAATATTTTTTTAGGGAGAAACAAAGATTATATTAATTTTTTTGCACTTCAAAAAATTAATATATCAATTTTCATAGCAACCGAAACATTAAAATTTGTAATTCTTGCCTAGGCTGTTGGACTGTTGTTGCCAATCACAAAAATTATGATAACTTCGAACGATTCTATCAAATCACACGAAAATTATTAGGGGTCCAGGGTTTAGAATACATTGTAAAATTGTTCAAACCCAACTGTAAAGAAATTAGAACCAAATATATAAAATAAAATGTTTGAGAAGTATTTTTAAATTTCTTAGTTAAAATGGAATGAAATCTCAACCTTTTTTTTTTTTATTTGGGTTTTCGAAGAGCTGTAATTCAGCCTTCCAATGGTTGCAGAGGCATTGTATAAATTTTGTTTGAAATGAAATTTCAAAAAAATTTCTCGGCTCCTAGGGCATAATGGTAAGAACCCTTGGACAATATTTTTCAACCTAGTATCACCAAAAAAAAGTTTCATTCAAATTGGTAACTCCACGCCTGTGACCTTCCCTTGTAATATATGGGTATAATCTTAGTTATAAAGGATTGAAATTAGGAAATATTTAATCACTCTATATTAATTGTTTGTAAGATTTTTTCATCCACTTTTTGAAAAAATTGTTGGCTCCATGCTCTAAGTTTTCAAACTCTAACCTTATTCTAGGTTATGTTTTTTGGTTAATTTTTAATTTAATATTTTGATATAAATGGAAAATATAATAACTGTAGAAAAGGAGAAGTTGTTTCAGATTGTCTCAAATGAAAAATATGATATGGATTAAATTTTTAATATTTTGTCTTGTCTTCTAGCTTCTTGGCAAAGAATTGAGAAAAGGAAGAGACCACTTGATGTGGGCTTTACTGCAGTTCATATCTGGAAGCATACAAAGAAATCCAGTAAGTTTATTTTTAATAAGTTTTAAAATTTGTTGAAGAACGTTTAAGAATATTATAATGATATAGTGACCATTAATAACTGGGAAAAGATATATTTAAGTAAAGACAAGTATTCATGGAAACTGAATGAGTCTTTAGGTTAGTAATAATTTGAGATTAGAAAATAACAATTGAATATTAACATTACAAGTACTACATGCTGCTTATACTATCAGCCAACAGCTGATAACTTCTCTGCAACGTTACAGTATCAAGTCCTAGGGTCTTGTTTTCATTTCTCTATCCCATGACATATTATTTTATTTAAATGACAGTGATTTTGTATTAATGAAATAGATGTTTATTTATTAAAATTGTTTTTATAATAATTATGTATTACCATTTGATGATTTAATGGTAGATTTGTTATAAATGTTCTCTCATTATGTATTATTCCTTTACCTTAAAGTATTTTAAAATCTTTTGTTTTATCAATATTAACAACTTTATCCAAATCCACTTGGTTCATTTTCAGATAATAATGTTTCGCTAGTAAAATATGATTGCTAATGCTTAAATAAAGATTAATAATCACTGTTATTCTAAATAAAAAATTATAGGATATAGCATTGTAAAAATACGCAAGTCCTATTCTCTGTCTTTGAAAACTTTTTCATCATCTCTCATTTTCATTTTTCTACAAGATCTGTCTGTTTTTGAAGAGAGGTTCATCATAAACATCCTAAGTGTCTTGCTTATCTTCTGTCTATCTTAACTATCCTATCCTGTTTCAATGACCTGTTATCTATTTCTTTCTTTTAAAAAATTGTAAATATTGGAGGCTAAGACATCCTTAATAAATTTAAATTGACTCAAATAGCTCAATAATCTTTGTAATATTTGTCTCTTGGTCTTTGGTGCAATCATACAATTTAGTTGCAGATACTTAAATTATAAATGCCTGTTCAATTTACATGTTGACTACACAGATGATAAAGTGCATCTGATTAATTGAATAACACCCAAAATGTATATGGAAAAACAAAAAAAAATACTGACATTCACATCCATAATAATAAGAAAAAACCTGACTTGACAGATGGAGTCTTATATTAACAAATGTTTTTACTAAACTATTTAAATACAATTTGTTAGTATTTATAATTATAATAATTTTCATTACTTATTACGCATAAACAATTTTATTTCTCCTTTTTCTCTTTGATATTAATTATTTCAAAACTTAATCTAAAGAAAGCAAAATTTAGTTGTCTGTGGGAAAAACAGACTTCTCTTATCAACTCCAAAATGCTTATAAATTTGTTCCTGCCAGACATTTAAGCAATGATTTTACTTTGGAGAGGGCTAATAATTTTGTAATCCTTATATTATTTATGAGGTAAGGACTTTATTTTAATATTAATTTCATTATATTTCCATAATTAAAATTTTAATGTGGTTTATTATTGTGTTTTTAAAATTGGTCAATATTCACTAATTTTCTGAAGAAATCAAGAATTTCATTTACCAAAATTGGGTAGACATGGAAAAGTACTCATGGATAAGGATAACCATAAAGTACTCTACCTATCTATTAATAAAAACATAATTTGTTTATGCCTTAACAAATTCTATACGCATTATTTATTTGAGTTAATATATATATATATATAACATTGAAATAATGTTATATATATATATACATACATATATATAAAAAATAATATATATATATATATATATATATATATATATATATATACAAGTACTACATGCTTGTATATATATATATATATATATATAAACATAAACTTAACTGGAGAGTTCAGACGGTTACACAACGCCGAATTGCGTGAACTGTATCCGAGTAATATAATTGAGATAATTTCATCGCGACGAATCGAATGGGCTTGTAAAGTTGTTGGACTTAGTAACGCGAGAATTCCTAAACGGCTAATATTTGCTGTGCCGAATGGTAAGCGTCCGAGGGGTAGACCGAAGCGAAGGTGGGAAGATTGCATTAAAGCCGACCTGAAGGGACTGGGTTTGGACGGCGAACGATGGAGGGAGGTGTGCAATAAGCGATTGGTGGTGTCGGCATCGAACCTTCGGGTTCGCTAAGCCTTTTTATTATTATTTATTATTATTATTATATATATATATATATATATATATATATATAATAATAATAAATAAGGACTTCTCGACGCGGGAAATCGGCTGGCAGGAGAATGACTGCCATCGTATCTATCTCGGTGAGGAGATGACCCCTAAGAATAGGCACCTCTACTGGCTCGCAAGGCAGAAGAAAGCCGCGGGGAAAATAAAATATACCTGGTTCGCTTCCGGCACAGTGCGGTGTAGAAAAGACGACGGCCATCAGGTTGTCCTCATCAACCAGGCACAGGACTTAGACGTCTTCGGATGACGGCTTGAATCTCGTTCACCATCAAGCATCTACGAACATTTTGGCACGCTCACCGGACCTTCATCGGAAATCTTTTATTTTACATTATATTATCAAGACTATTTATTAACTTATTATTTATATACTTTTTTTTACTTATTTTACTTTATTTTTTCTTCACATTATCTAATGTATTTAATCTTTTTCAGCGTCTTTCCATCAAATACCGAATGTCCTCTCCGAAATCCTACTCATGTCTAGTGTCCTAACTTCCTGCCACGTCAACTCCCAATCCCTTCCAGCCCATTACGATGAATTCCTAGAATATTTTACCCAAAACTTTTACCACATCATCGCAATTTCCGAAACCTGGCTCAAGCCCTACATCCCCTCCTCTTCAGTCTCCCTTCCTAACTACACCCTAATCTGCCACGACCGGGACAGCCGGACTGGCGGAGGTGTAGCTCTGTACGTTCATACCAGCCTAAAGGTCCGAATTCTCCATCGTTCTTCTCCAACCGATCAGCCACAAGTCGAGTTCTTGATCGTCGAAATCTCCTGTAACACCTCTCATCTCCTCTATTTCGTGGTATATCGTCCTCCTCTTGTTCCGTTTGACCCGTCTTTCGAAGCTTCCCTCTTTAACTTTGTGCCCCTTTATTCCAAAATTATCATTTCCGGTGACTTAAACACCAATTTCCTCTCCGACTCCAGCGACAAATCATACCTAGAAAACCTTTTTTTCTCCCTTCATCTTTTTATCGTTCCTTTTTCTGCTACGCATCACACCGCAAGGTCCGACACTTGGTTGGACCTGTACATTATTGATTCCGCTCAAAATCTCCTTTCCTCTTCCCAATTACCAGTTTCTTTTTTATCGTCGCATGACCTAATCCATATATCCTATAATATCCAAATCCCTCCGATCCTACCGAGAACGGTAACTTTCCGGAACCTTAATGGCCTTACTCGGGAAAAAATCTTACCTTCCCTAGAATCCCTAGATTGGAATATAATATATTCCTGTACCTCAATTGATTCCATGGTTGACATTCTCACCTCCAATCTTATTAATATCCTTGATGACCATGCCCCTCTCAAAACCTCCACCTTTCGTCGCCTTCCTGCTCCCTGGATGTGTCAGAAAATTAAGGATCTTCAGAAGAGGCGTGATGCAGCCCGGAGACGCTTTAGACGCACTAGATTGCCTGACGACTATCAAGCGTTCAGGGCGCTCCGCAACCTGACACAAACCACAATCCGACGAGCCAAATCTACCTATTTCCATGAAGCCCTTTTCTCAGCTCCTCATTCCAAATCCAAAAACTCTCTCTTTGTGATCCTACCAGATCTTCTCCCTCTGCAGTGCCCCCAGTTTCATCAAATGACTTAAATTCTTATTTTATATCTGCTTCCTCTTCAACTCCTTCATTTCTCCCTTCCTTCTTTCCTCCTGGAACATCTTTCAATGTCGCCGATTTTTATTTTTCAGATATTTCTCTCACAGACCTCATATCCACCGTGATGAAATCACACTCTAATTCTATTGGTCCAGATGGCATTCCCGTCAAATTAATTAAATTATGCCTCCCTGAAATCCTTCCGGTACTCCTTTTCATCTACAATTTTTCCCTTCAAAATTCAGTATTCCCTTCCTTGTGGAAAAAAGCCACAGTCCGTCCTTTAAATAAAAATTCTAATCCGTCTTCCCCTGAAGATTTCCGGCCAATCTCAATCCTTTCTAACCTTTCCAAACCCCTGGAGAGAATTGTGCAATCCCAAGTTTCCACCTTTCTTGAACAGTCCAATCAACTTGACCTTTACCAATCTGGTTTCCGACCAGGTTATTGGTAATCACAAAATCACAAAATCCGCCCTAATCAAAATCATTAATGATGTTCAGTCCGCCATTGATGACAAAAAACTAACTGTCCTTATACTCATTGACTTTTCCAAAGCCTTTGATTCCATCAACCATTCCATTCTCTTTTCCAAATTAAAATCATTATCCTTTTCCCATAGTTCTATCCTATGGTTTCAATCATTCCTCTCCCAACGCTCACAAGCTGTCACTATTCCTAATCAACCATTGTCTTCCTATCTTACTTTGTCCGCAGGAGTGGCCCAGGGCTCTAGCATATCTCCCCTCCTTTTTAGTTCTTATATCAATGACATCCATAATTCAATCCTTCACTGCTCCCATCACCTTTACGCCGATGACTCCCAAATCTACCTTTCCTTCCATCCCTCAGAGTTGCATGAAGCGTTTGCCAAAATTCAAGAAGACTTGAATCGGATCAGTGCCTGGGCAAACTTAAATGGGTTAAGGTTAAACGCTGCAAAAACTCAAGCCATTGTCATTGGTTCCAAACCCCTTCTCAGAGCCAATACCAACATACCTATACTGTACCTAAATGACCATCTCATTACCTTCACCTCCTCAGTAAAAAACCTAGGCATTTTCATAGACCAAACTCTATCCTGGAAACACCATATTGCTCACATTACCCGACAGTCAATTGGTATCTTGAAACTATTCCATCGCTTCCGCCATCTCCTACCCATCTCCACACGTAGACTCCTAGTAACTTCCCTCATCTTCCCCCACCTTGATTACGGCTGCGTGGTGTACGGTGGCCTCTCGGCAGAACTCGGGGAGAGACTGAAAAGAATTATGAATGCCTTCGTAAGATTTGTCACAGGGGCCCTGAGGTATTCCCGTGTTTCGCACCACTATGCTGAATTAGGATGGCTCTTCCCTTCCTTCCGAAGACAATATTTCCTAGGCACATTCCTTTACCAAATAATCAATAGTCATCGTCCGTCCTACGCATACAATCTCCTACAATTCAAATCATCTATCCACACCCTCTCCACAAGATCTCGTCCTTCTGACCTTTACACTCCTTTCCACAGATCTGCATCATTTAAAAATTCCTTCGTTGTCCGTTCCACTGCATTCTGGAATTCCATCCCACTAAAAATCCGCCATGCATCATCCTTATCCACCTTTAAAACCCTCTTATTCCAATTCCTCTTCACAATCCAATCAGACGCTGGTTAAATACATACTATGTTATAAGGATTTAATTTTCTTTAGACATTATTTTTTTTCTCTTATTTTTTATTGTTTTATTCTGTGTTGAACGTGAATTTTCATCACCACTCACTAAGCATTGTGAGTAGATAAAATTTGTTTTCCTTAAGTTCTAATTTGTTATTCATGGAATGTATTTCAGTGAAATGTATTTTATTTCTAATTATCTTCAACATACTTCTCGCTATGTGTATATATATACTTTATTTTATTTTCTCTTCTCCTAATCTTTACGCATAATCACTTAAATATCTTAGGGAACATATGTATATCATTATTTGTTTTTTTATATATTTTTTTGTTTTAGTTTTTACAATTTCTTTCCCTACATATTAACAGTTATTATTATTTTTTTTAATTTTTATATTCCATCACTACAATGCTTTACCTATAAAATAGATTTTACTTTCCTTTCTAATTTCATTCAGTGATTATTATGCAATTATTTTAGCTTCAATATTGTAGTACTGAACCCCTATTACCCAACTGTCCTCGTTAATTTATCCTAAGAGCCTAATTAATACTTAATGTATTACATGTATTTTGACATTATTCATTGTAATAAGTCTTTTAACCAGATTTGTAGTTAATATATATGAACAATACTGTTATTCTAAAGGGACCTAATCCCAGAATAAAGATGATTTTTCTATTCTATTCTATTCTATATATATATATATATATATATATATATATATATATATATATATAGCTCTTATTTTAAATATTTTCTGGTTAAAATATAAAAATATTCTATTTTTAGTTTCTTATTATTTTGTTTTTTCCTTGCAGCTTACAAATTTCTTACCGGTTTTTCGTCTGTACGATCTCTTGTATCCTGAGAAGGAGCCTCTTCCAGTACCTGACTACAATAAAGCTATTTGTACTCACCAAATGGCAATGACATGTATTTGGATACATCTTTTGAAAAAAGCGCAATCAGACCATCTTAATATACAGAGACCTGTACCAAATGCTTTGAAAGTTCAACATGAGTAAGTTGGAAGTCTAATCATTTATACTAAGATTTGTTTTCAGTTGTTTCTTTGTAAAATTAACTAAATATCATTTAAATAATGATATGTAGTTAGTTACATTGCTATGATCAATGCTTGATTTGAAAAAGAAAATGTGTAAATTAAACTTGTAGGAATGTTATGTTTTTTCAGATATACTTATGATATAATCATGAACCCAATAGAACCCTGCTTATCTAGCTCCTCTATGTTCTTTATTATCCAGAACTATAACCCTATTTATTCCTGTACAGTACTTTAACCTTGTTTATCCCCATGTAGAACTTTTTTCCTTTTCATTTCCTTTAGATATTTGTATTTTTAGATCTTTAATCTTTTAAATAATTATAATGTTGTTTTAATGAAAGCTTAAGCTCAAAAAAGATATTGGCTAATTCTGTGAAATGTTTAAAAATATTATATAACTAATTGAAACCACAATGTTAATGTTTATTGTATTATTTTATTTTAGGTTCCTTCAAAGTTTAATAGCCACTAATACAAATTTGTACATGGGAACTGACTACCGTATTGCTCTGTTGTGCAATGCTTATTCTACAAACCAAGAATATTTTTCTCGCCCGATGGCTGCTCTGGTGGATACAATTTTAGGATCAAAGGGACCGACTGGTGCTGCAGGGACTGCAAGTGTCAATCCACTCCCATCCACTTCTGGGCCTACAACACCATTGTCCATGTCAATTTTAGATTCATTAACTGTTCATTCAAAAATGAGTCTTATTCATAGTATAGTCACTCATGTGATAAAGCTCGCTCAATCCAAAAGCAATATGGCTCTCGCTCCAGCATTAGTAGAAACATATTCAAGACTGTTAGTTTATACTGAAATTGAATCTCTTGGGATCAAAGGTTTTATTAGTAAGTAAATGCTTTTATTAAAATTAGTCCAGTCACATTTATTGAATTGTAACTATTTTTAATAATTATATCGCAAATTAAAATATTAATTATATTTCAGGTCAATTGCTACCTACTGTATTTAAGTATCATGCTTGGGGTATATTGTATACTCTTCTTGAGATGTTTAACTATCGAATGCATCACATTCAACCTCATTACAGAGTTCAATTGCTATCTCATTTACATAGCTTAGCAGCCGTACCACAAACTAATCAAACACAACTACATTTGTGGTATGTATTAGTTCTTATAATTCTATTTCTTGATTAGCTATAAAACTGTATGAATTCGTGTAGCCAGGGAAAATTGGGTGTGTTGTTGGTGCCCAGGACAAAATTTTACCCTTCTCAAATTTACAAATTGACCAGTAGTCTATCTTCTCATGTTTGTGAACTTTTTTTTTTTTCTGTTCTTCCCTACCTCGCCTTTTAGGCTATACGAGATTTTCCTGTGCCAGAGGGTGAGGGCGGAGAATTTAAAATCCCCTCTGGGAACTCGTACTTTTTTTTTAATCTCATATTCAGGTCATCTGGTTGCCGAGCAACTCGTGGTGCTGTGCACACACATTAGCCCATTCGGCTACCCCGCCCCTATGTTTGTGAACTATACTTACTTATACCTGAGATTAATCAACCCATTTTCTTTTATCATTCATTCATTATTTCTAAGCTCCTAGACACTGGTTGATCCCTAGTGAGCGAACTCAGAATTTATGATATATGATTACTTTGTTTTAAGTGTTTTATGCAAATTTACCTCTGTTAGCTAGTATTAGATCTATTATAAAATAATTAATATATTTTAATTTAATATATATCTATCTCGGGCAATATGTCAAAAATATGTTTCACATGAATGCAAATTGAATAGTTTACTATAAATCAGAATTTATTTAAATTCTTTAAAATTAAATGAACTTTAAATTAAACTACTGTTAAATAGATAGAAAATAACTTTATTCTGGGACAAAGTCTTCTGAGAATATTAAAATCGTACAAAAATATAAGATTACTTCTGTCCTAAGGTTCGAAACAATAAAAAAAATAAAAGTAAAATGAAAATTTAAAAAAGTAAAGAAAATATCAAGTAAACATGCTATATACAAAAAAAAAAAATTATAAACAAAACACTTAAAACTGTATACAAAACACTTGAAACTATTTACAATGGTAAAAGAATATAAATATACACTTATAAGAAAAAATAAATGAAATTATTCTTATGAATAAATTCTGAGTTTCTATTTGTTAATGCAAAAAGCATTTTTCTTCCTTTGTAAGTTTTGTAGATGTCATTGGCTGAATGCCATCTGTGGTAGAATTGTTTTCTAATACTAAAACAGAGTGCTCAAGATATTTGTTGATTCTATAAACCATTCTAGTCCCATTTTGACAAATTTATCGAATATTTTTGCTAAACATGAAATGAAAGCAGTGTGAAGTAAATCTAATACGGATCCTTCTCAAACCTTGATATTGGGAATGTAAGTGTACTTCATCAGTCAGGAAGTACACATCAGGCTTCCTTCCAAAGTTCATTATAAGCTGTGAGCAATCTTTGTTCCATCGAGGCTGGTAAGAGTTTGACCATTTGATAATTGACTTTATCTAAACCAGGGTCAGATCCAGATTCTCCTTTCAATGCCACCTCCAGTTCTGTTAGTTGGGAAAGGTGAATCCACTGGGTGGGCAGCCTTATATTTGGACCCCAAAGCAATGGTTGTCTGGGTACAAAAATGTTGGAAAATTGTTCAAAAAAACCTTTTGCATGTGTTATATTTGTTAACACCATGTTTTGCATCTTAACCTGTTTTCCATGTCAATAGTTTCCTAATTTAGTGATTATTCCTGTTTAATTTAATAAGAATAACGTATTATTTTGTAATGTCAGATGAGGTCATCTCCTCAAGGAGTATCGAATTTCTCAGCACCAAATAATGAGAAATGCGTCTTAAAATGCCCTCTCAAGGGCACACTACTATTTCGAAAGGACATGCAGATCAAAAAAATTTTGAAGATTTCGAAGTGAAAGCTACCTTCTGTTGTCCGATCGAATATACACTGAATCTGGGATAATAATGTAGGAAGGTACTGTTTTGAGAAGTTTTATCTCTACTGCTCCAATCGTCCCCAAATCTGATAACTCAGTGATTTCATAATAAGCAAGGAATTATGGAAAAATAAGCCAATATTTACAAAAATCAAAATTTATTTTTTATAATCTTGTAAATCTACCTATGTATATAAGTTAAATATATTTTGTAATTTATGTACTAATCGTTCATCATTAGTAAAATTCTCTAAAAAACTTATTTGTATTTTCTAATTTTCGTTTTAGCGTTGAAAGTACTGCTTTGCGCTTGATCACCGGACTAGGTAGTGGAGAAGTACAGCCCCAGTTATCTCGATTTTTATCTGAACCTAAGACCCTAGTATCAGCTGAATCTGAAGAGTTGAACAGAGCTCTAGTTTTAACGTTGGCAAGATCCATGCATGTTACAGGTACAGAGATTACGATTTCATTGTATTTTAAATTTTATTTCTGGGAAATATAGTCAAATAAAAACTTATCTGAAATCATGGCTTGCTGCTTTATTTATTTTATGTTAAATATGAGATTGTGCACCTTTTGTTATTGGTACTGGTGTAGGGAGGGAGGTAACCAATCCGCTAAGTGAGCCAAGACCAATGTATTTTATGCTAAAATTTAATGCCCTCTCAAAAGTAGCCTTCTTGTTTCCTAACCAGAGTGGAAGTGTTAAGATTTATTTCATGGATGGTACTGCCTACGCTAGTGACCGCCATCCATTACTACCAACAGTTAATACTTGTGTATTACATCAAAACTGCTCACCTTAGCATCCAATTCCTCTCGCTTTAAGCATTTTAAGCATCCTAGTTTAAAATAACTTTAAATGATAACTTTAGCCTTAAATCTATTGGTTTTCATTTGGGTTCGAAATGCAGCATTATATATATGATGGCAAAGTTTTGATCTTATTTAATTCATATACACTAGTTTTCCTGGTATTTAAAGTTGAATACTTTAGGTTAAGTTTTATAGATTATCAGTTAGGTTTTATCTGTACTATAAAATGTTAACCATTATTTACATATTAATGCCCATCTACAAAGTGATGGTTTCATGTAATATTTTGAATAGAAAATATCAGCCATATGATAGAAATAATATGATGAAATATTATTTTATAAATTGATGATACATCTCTTATTTTAAATTTATTACTTATTATTAGTATGATCATTTCAGTTATAAACATCATATATTTGTATTGAAATCACAATAGATAATTATCATTAAGTAATTGGTAAATCGGCACTTTAATTAAAATATACAAATTAATTTCTCAATATTTTAGATTTGGGTACGTACTTGATATTAACTTTTTTTCCCATTATTTAATGTTAGTTTACGTATTTATATTTATTTGAATCTCTATATAAATTACTCTTGTTACTTCAATCCTACAAAAATGTTTTACTATAGTTTTGTTTAAATTTCAAACAATGTTTCATTTAATTTTGTCTGACTTAATGAAAAAAAAAAATGAAATGAAACATAGCAACATAACTGTTATCATCTAAACTCTTCTCTGATATGATGAGATAGCTTTGAACTGTACTGCCAACACCTTCACTGATTATGGGCTGATCAGAAATTAATAATTAATAGTATCAATATATGCTCATACCTAGGTTGCCAACCAGTGCCAACTAAATATGCTTCTTTCTATTCCACTAAAACAGTGTTTAACTTCCAGCAGTCACTGCAGTGTGCAGTACCATCAAAATAGTCGCTTTAATTGACCAATTTAGAATTGAATTCACAATTATATCCAATCCTCTTGTCCATTATAACTTCTGTTGTGTTGCAAAATATGATGATTTTGTCATTATTATAATCTAGGAGGGAAAATAAAGGTTGAAATTCCTTGCCATCACAACTCATAAAGGGTCGTGGGCTCAAGTATAGTGAGTCTAATATAACTTTTATAAGTGTTTACAAACAATTGCCTGTAGCGGAAATAAGTTCATGCAGACTTTTCTCTCTCAAGCTCCACCTCCCTCCCTCACCCTAGCAATCACTTCATACCAGGAACGTGTTTTTCAATGTTCGATTTTCTTCTAAATTCTAATTTCACAAAAGAAATGAAACAAAAAAAATGGTGAAAGAAATTTCAACTTGTTAAAAAAAATAAAGTAGAAGCATATACGAATGAGTAAAGACAAAAGAGTGGATCGAAGGGAAAATGTTTTGCCATTGGGCACCTCTCTCCCTCTCTACCCACCGGCAAACTTATCTTAGACGGGCTATTTTGTAAGGAAGAATTGCTATATCATGAACTTCATGAACATATTGATCGTGTACATTACAATTCCATTACAAAGGATTTTATCTATCTACTAGCAGTTATAGTGGACTTTCTTTAACGGTGTTCTACTTCGGATAAATAAGCTCACCTAAACTGTAAAGGGAATCATCTATTAGAGTACTATACTGTTTTAGTTCAAAGTATTTTGTGTGACAACACTTTTTTGTCATTTGGAAGGGTTTGAAACAACTTAATACCTGTCTGAGATATTAATTTTTCATATAGGAATATATATATTTCACGTAGGATATATTCCAAACAACATCCCTACTCTTCTAGACCTCTTCTACCCCATGGTCTTATGTTTGCCTCCCTCCCCCCAATAATTTTCATAAGTCGGCACCTATGGCTAGAAGGTAATTTTAATTTACTTACATAATTATTTAAGGAGGTCCTTCATTCAAATCCTTCTCTGACATTTTCTGGTATTCTCCAGCACAAGAGTTGTGACCATTTCTTTTATTGTTTGATTTGGATTTTTTTAATTTACCATGAATTGTTTGTAGTAATTCTGTATGTATTACCAGAGTGTCAGCATGCGTAAGTCAGTGTTGCAATTTTTGAAGTATAGCTGTGATTAATTAATGCTTACTTCTCACTGTCATTGAACTGTTCTATAAGTAAATGTGCTTTCTGTCCAGGAACTGGTTGTGAACCCGCCTCAGGGGCATGGTGCAAGGAGTTACTGAATACCATTATGGCTAATACACCTCACTCTTGGGCTCAACACACATTGCAGTTTTTTCCTCCTGTTTTAAATGAGTTTTTTCAAGCTAATAGTGTTCCAAAAGAGAATAAACAGCAACTTAAGGTTTGGTTTATTTTGTTTTTAAACTAATTTATACGTTTATGTATACTTACTTAAGGAATTCTAATTTATGTATTTTTAATATTTCAGAAAGCTGTTGAAGAAGAGTTTCGTAACTGGGCATCCATGAATAATGAAAATGATATTATTGCCCATTTTTCTGTCCCAGGGACACCTCCCCTGTTCTTGTGTTTGCTTTGGAAAATTATTCTTGAGACTGATCGCATCAATCCTATTGCTTATAAGTAAGCAGAACCAATATTTAAGATCTGATTTGTTTGAAAATCTAATATAATGTTAAGTATATAAACTAGTGATTATTAATCTGCAATAATTGTTATTTTAGAATTTTAGAACGGATTGGAGCGAGAGCGCTCTCAGCACACCTTCGTAAATTTTGTGATTATTTGGTGTTTGAATTTACTATTTCTGAAGAAGGACAGCATGTTAACAAATGTGTAGATGCTATAAATAACATGATATGGAAGTATAATATTGTCACCATAGACCGTCTGATTCTTTGCATGGTACTGAACATTTCATTATTATATTAATATAATTATTTATTTTATTCTACCATCAGTCCTTTGAACTTTCCTGTCATAATATAATAACTATAGCTATATTATAGAAGTTAACTTTGTAATGAGCTAATCTTACAAATGAGTATATTGTTAGGAAAGGCAATAAGATTTTCTGACAAACCAAAGATGGGTTATTACTCATGAACTGATTCAAATAATTAATTCCTTGTAGAAGCTCACAGTTTTGAACTGTCAATAGAAGAACTGAGTAAAGAGAAAGTTGAAATAATTATCAGAAAATTAAAATCTGATCAAGCAGTAGGAACCGATAATATTCCTTTTGAGTTACTTAAAAACTTGTGAGGAAGCTGGAATTTCTAAAATAATCTGTTGATTAAGAATATCTAGGAGAATGAAAAAATGCCTGAAGAATAGAAAAAAATTATTCTTATTCCAATTTAAAAAAAATTGCCTGAGGATGGATCTTAATAAAATATCTAGGATGGATAAATGCAGTCTATTATGTTTAATAAATGTAATTTATTTTATGAAACATTATATTACAATTATTTCAGTTTTTTTTATCTTATCTGCTATTTTTAAACTTGTACTCCAACTTTTATGTAATTTTATTATATTTATTTACTTCATATCACTGTGTTATTAAGCTGGAGCCTGGAAGAAGACATACCCAAAAGGCCAAAATAAATTTACTGTTTCTTATTTTTCAATTGTGTCTGCAATCATTATTTAAAATTGATTTTTTAAATATCTTCTGATTAAATATTTAGTATCACGATATTTTCTTTTTAAGGCATTAAGAACTCAGGAAGGTAATGAAGCTCAAGTTTGTTTTTTCATCATTCAACTTCTTCTCTTCAAAGCTGCAGAATTTCGTAACAGGGTTACTGAATTTGTCAAAGAAAACTCTCCTCAACATTGGAAACAATCAAATTGGTATATATTACTGTTCTTTCAACTTTTAAACTTACGTAAACTAACCTTTCTCTTCTAACTTCCTTATTTTCTAATATTTCACTAGTGTGGTATGATAAGTTTATGACAAACATTTTGGTTTAAAATAAGATTATTGGTGGTTATGATTTTATTTGAACGTCAAATGTTTTTTATTTTAATTTTAAAAAGTTGCTATTTGACTTATCTTTTTTGTCAATTTCATTTTTAGTCATTTTTAATGTGACAATGTTTTAACTGCTTTTCGTCATATTTTATATAAATTAGACATAAAATATTTCTTTAATAAATCATTTTCAAAAGTTAAATTATTACCATTTTAAAGAGATTTTTAAACAAAATTAAAAGAATCGTTGGATACAAAACTAGTGCTGTCCTGGCCTTAGGAAATTCAACAAATCAAAGCAGATGAATTCTTTTTCCTTTAGGAGGCTCGCAACTCGAATTTGACCCTATGGTGTTGGCATGTTGTGAGGAGAGAGTTGTTGGGACATTTGCCAGGCCTCTGGGCTGGTTTCAGATTCTCTGACACATTTACTACAGAGGGACCCAACTTCCTTCAACTATGCTTTGGCTCCTGAGTCTTCACTCCTGTAGATATTTGTATCAATGCCTTCTAATATTGCAGAACCTGTAGTGCGGTCTGGAGAGGATAAGCAAACCCCAATAACACATTGATTAACAACATTTATCTTTTGCTCCAGTTTAAGACAACTAGAACCCACTAGTTTGTATGAACTATTATTCAATTTAGTCTCTACTTCAATCATTTCTAGCTCTCGTGAACATTCATCCTAAATATTTGATGATATTTTCATTCTCAAGGGAGAGCTTCATTTGCTGTAGCTCTCCTTTATTTATCACGAGGCCCACTCTTTTTTGAAGAATTACAGAAAGATCAATCTCGGCAAGGATTTCCTGGACACAATTTATAATTATCTCTACAGCACTCTTATCATGTGCCTGAGACAGGCTGATCGTCTGCGAAGCCTGTGAGGATCACACATTCAGCCAGGTTGAAAGGTGGCAAGAATACCTCTTGGGATATTACTCGCTGCATCATGATCCAAGTTGTTGAGTGGGCTCCCACTCTATTCTTGATTTGGTTTAATGATTTAAAAAATGTATGTTTATTTTACTGAAATGAACTTAAATATTGTATGTATTAATTTATTTTAATTTTTCTATAGGCATGAGAAACATTTAGCATTTCACAGAAAGTACCCAGAAAAGTTTGCTCCTGATGGAATTCATGAACAAACTGCAGGATCTCCATTTCAGTCTCTTCCTGTTTATTTTGGGAATGTGTGTCTCAGATTTTTGCCTGTAAGTATTATTACTGGAATCATACTAGTTATTATTGCCTACCATACATAATGGTTTTAAACTATTCAATTTTATAATGATGTAGAGATGGTTGACCGTTGATATAATATGAGAAGGAGTTAGTCGGGGGTGCGGTCAGATAAATACTAAATTAAAATAAACTAATTATTTTATTTTAATTTTTCCGACGTTTCGACCCACTTTGCAGGTCTTCTTCAGGGCCTAGGATGTAGCACTGCGGGAGGCAGTTGAACACCCCCGACTAACTCCTCATATTCAATTTTATAATTAGTTGTCTTAGGTCGTTGGATTAGCTAGGTAGTGAGCATAATCAGATGAATTTAATAATATTGATTCGAGTTCAACCATGATTATTGTTGAGAATATTGTGATTAATTTCTTTTAATATATATTTTTTTTTGTAAAAAAATGAAATTACAGTCTTTAAACTGGGAATAAATGGGCTGTACTGTGCTATTACTAATGTTTTCTGGATGCTTTATTGTGCTCCGAAATCATGGGTATCATATTTTAATGTCAAGCCTTTCTGCTTGCATTTTTAATCCTATTGAAATTCACTTCCTGCCAGAAATCGTCTTATAATTGTACATCTGGTTACCTTTAGAAACTGATTAAATTATATTTAAATTGATGAAACAAAATATTGTTATTAACAATTTACAGGATTGTTGTATATTATAATTTATTCCTTTTTAGTAACGTTTTACCTTATTTTTATTGCAATATTTATTAATTATTTACTAAACTTTTAATTAAAATTGTTTTTATTAGGTTTTTGACATTGTTATTCACCGTTATCTAGAAATTCCTCCTGTTACTAAGTCTTTGGAGACTCTTTTGGAACATCTGGGAAGTTTATATAAATTTCACGGTAAGTTTTTTTGAAATTATTATAATAATAATGGAACCGAAAAATAATATTAACTGTTTTTTAAAGGTAGTAATTACTTGGAGCTTTTAACATTTTCATTGTTACTAGAAGCACTAGATATCTCGAGGATTAAAAGCTCATAAACAATTTTTGTTTTTATACTTTCCAAAAGAGGATCAAAATTTTATAATGTTTTACTATTTAACATTTTACTATGGCAATTATAACAATTTGATATTGAATGTATTGATGCTTTCTTCAGCTATGATTCATTTAATTACATTCTTAAATTATTTATTAGCTCATGAATTTAATCACAAAAATCATTATTAATGAGAGAATATTATTTTTCTTTTTGACATAAACTGTTCCAGATCGGCCTGTTACCTACCTCTATAACACGCTTCACTACTACGAGAGGGTGTTGAGAGATAGACCACAGCTAAAAAGGAAGCTAGTGGCTGCAGTTCTGGGAACTGCTGAAGGCTCTAAAGGATGGCCCCTCTCTGAACCCTATTTGAGTTATATGCAACAGCAGTTAGATAAATGGACTCCTGAACTTGATTATTATGTAAAACTTATTAGAAGAATTGTTGAAAGTATCCTTTTTGTTTTTTATACATCTATGTCTTTATACAATAGACCGCAGGTGGGAAACCTTTTTACCATTAGAGGCTGCTGTAACTTTAGGCAGTGCTTCTCGATGTCATAACAATTCTTTTTATTTTACTGTTCCTAATTTTTATTATACCAATTGTTTTTTATTCATTTTTCGTACAAGAAAAAATATTGCTGCACTAATCAAATTTAAAGTTTTGTTAGAGAATAATAATAAATTGAATTAAAGGAAGAAGAGATCAAAGCTAGACTGAAGGCGGGAAATGCTTGTTATTTTTCTGTGACAAAACTACTTAGCTCTTGTCCCGAAACTTAAAAATTAGAATCTATAAAACCATTATCTTACCTACAGTTCTTTATGGATGCGAAACTTGACCGCTTACATTAAAGAATGAGCAACATCTTAAGGATTTGGAAAATAAAGTATTGCAAAGAATATTCGGACCGAAGAAGGATGAGTTAACCAGAGAATTCAGACGATTACACAACGCCGAATTATGTGAACTGTATCCGGGTAATATAATTGAGGTAATTTCATCGCAGAGAATAAAATGGGCTTTTAAATTGTTGGGCTTGGTAATGAGAGAGTTCCTAAAAGGTTAATATTTGCTGTACCGAATGGTAAACGTCCGAGGGGTAGACTGAAGCGAAGGTGGGAAGATTGCATCAAAGCCGATCTGAAGGGACTGGGTTTGGACGGTGAACGGTGGAGGGAGGTGTGTAATAAGGGATTGGTGGTGTCACTATCGAACCTTCGGGTTTGCTAAGCCTTTTATTATTATTATTATTAAATTTATGACTAAAATTAAACCTATAAAATTATTAAGTAATGTTTACTTTTAGATGAACTTTTTAAAAAAATTCCCAAACATTTTTTTCCATTTGGGACCAAATGGGTTAAATAATCTATGAGCATGTTCCATTCAGGATTTGTTTGCTAATTTTGAGGTCAACATAGTTTCTTTGGTGATCATTGTAGTAAAAAAGCAATATATTCTTATAATTTTTATAAAATCATTGCCTAGGAAAAGATATTATTTATAATTGTATATAATTGTTGTTTATAATTGTATAAAGATTTGTTATATGTCATTTAATTTTAAAATATCAATCTCGACTAAACTTACCTATCTAATTCTTATTAGAAGTAAAAATTTTATGCATAGAACTGGAAATATTTTCCTATACAATTGATTACAGCTATGTCAGGAGTTGCACAATTTCCATCAACTGATTGGAGATTTAATGAATTTCCAAATCCTGCTGCACATGCTCTTTACATAACTTGTGTTGAATTAATGGCAGTGCCTGTAACATCTAACATTGTTGCTAACAATTTACTTGATGTTATAATAAAAGGGTAAATATTTGACAAACAATTAAAATATATTAATTAAGTTATTTTGATAATTAAGTTTACAGACTACATTTTGATCAAACACTATTTGTATTAAGCCGCCATCATCAACATCCTACTAAGTGATTCCCAACAAGTGACCTTTTAGAACCAACTTAAAGGAGACCTTCTCTTGAGGTTCTTTTTCTTTAAAACTCAGAATTTTTTTATACTTCTGCTACAGAAATACTCAATATTGTACAATTATGTTTGAAAAATAAAATTTGAAACAAGATTAAGCTACTAAGAAGTGATTTAAAAATGAATTAAGTAGATGGAAAAGAGAGAAGAATATCATTTTACATTATTGAGGCTGCTCCTCTCGTGTAAATTATTAATTTATTAATTGAAAGTAATATTAATTAGACCAATTTTAAAATTCTAGAAGACAATTACTTCTTAAGATGACCTGTATAAAAATTTGAGGATTAAATGAAGACGTTATTTTAATGATTATCTAAATCAACAAATAATATCCTACTCTTTCCACAATAATATACTATGGTCAACCATTGAGTACTCAATAAATCAACAAATGTCTTGTGTTTGTGGTATGAATTCAAATTCATGAAAGTTAATTAAATATATACTTTTTTTCAGTTACACGGTCATTCCTTGCAATCAGATTCAACTCTGGATCAATTCCGTTGGACTTGTAATGGCAGCTTTGCCAGATTCATTTTGGTCAGTGTTGCAAGATAGATTGGTTGAGGTAATTACTTGCCCCAAGCTCTTGGAGTGGCCTTACAGAAACTCTCCTTTCCAGCTTTTCAATTTCTCTACAACTCACAATTCTTATTTAGACAACAAGTTTTCTTATACTCTGGCTACTGCTCATGCCATTTGGCACCACGCTGGAGTTGGGCACCTTTCGACCATTCCACAGTATGTATTCTACCATTATTCAGCTTAGTATAGTTTTCGATCATATATTATTATTGAATATATAAATCAACCATGTCATTATTTAAGTTATACATGTTATCTCAGTTCTTAATAACTCTACTCTGAGAATCAGTCAAGTGCCAACAATACAGTCAATTCACAAATTACGACCATTTGGATTTATTTGGCAATGCTAAAAAAATAAATGTCTTTTTTCATTGTTTTTGTGATCAGTTGCATTCTCCAGATGTAGAACAAGGAAATACAATTGATTTCTTCTAACATCCATAAGATACTATAGAGTCATACAGCTTATGAATCATCAGTTACCCACTATGTGCATTTTACCATTAATTTAAAGTTTTATTGTGTCTTAATAACTTATTTCTTTTTTTCCTCAAAAATGGCTAATAAAAGTAAAAAAAAAAAAAAAAATAGTAAGAGAAATTCTGTAGAGCTAAAAACAAAAAATAAAATAATATAACAGCATGATAACGGAAAAAACTGTGTCAGATCTGTCATGGGAATTCAAACTATTCCATTTGACCATTTCAACTATATTAAAGGACAAAATACAAAACTTTTGAAGCAATAAAAAAAAAAAAAAAATGGTACTATACCCAAACTTGAAACATTTTTAAAGACTTGCATTGATTATTTGGGGGAAAAAATACTCCAACAATATTTAAGATTATCCAAACCAAAGCATGCAGTCTTTTCAAAAAATTGATGAAATAGATGAGTGAAAACTGAAACCAAATTTTTGTAGTTTAAAAAACATGAAAAGTATTATTTTGTGGAGAACTAAACTAAGTGATAATTAAAGAAGTTAATTATTTGCTGGACAATTTTTAATCAAAGGAATTTTGAAAAAAACATAATATTTTCCAAATTTGGGACCACATATATATGAATGGAATATAGTACAAACTCTTGAAAACATTTAATTTAAACTCTAACGAAGAAGAGGAAATAGATGAGGTTGCTAATGCCATTGTACTAATTTCTCAACAACTAAATCAGGAAATTGATTAGCAAGTTATAAACCAACTGTTGGAAGATGACATTGAGGAGTTCACAAATTAAGAGTTGAATAAGATCTAGGAAAAAAATGGAACAGGGGAGTTAAATCAACCTGAGGAACCATGTAAAAATTTTGTTTACTGAAAGACATGGCTACTGTCTTTCATTTCTAGATCTTCTAAAATATGATATCTCATTAAGCAAGCCCTTGCTTTTTTTATAATGAAAAAAAAAGAACTATACAATCAAACTTTGACATATTAAAAAAAACCAATAGTCCAATAAAATCTGAAGAATCTGCCTTGAATATTTATAACAAAAAATGTGAATAAATATTTATATCCAAGTACAATATATTATCTAATTATTTCCATATGTGTACATTCAGCAAAAAATAAGATATTTTCACCTAAATATGTGATGTTGAATTTTTTTTTCCACTTATGATCATTTCGAATATGACTGAGGGTAATGTACATAATCTCATCATAACTCAAGAACTTAACTGTAGTTTTGTTGTTAGGAACTGATACACATTGTATTTTCTAAAAAAATAGTCATTGATTCAGCAAATCCATTCAAGTACAGTCGTGGTCATAGAAATTGCATCACATATTTCATTGCATTCTTATGTTAATTCCATTGATGTTTATGTTTTTGTTTACTTATTTAAATTACAAGAAAACATTAAAAATGTTTCTCAGTTTAGTTTAAACTAATGCCAGGATAAAAGCTGTTATTATGACCAGTATCAAAAACTGTCCTCGTCAGAAAATATTAAAAATGCACCATTACATGAAGTGGAGGAATTTTCATAGGAAATAGTAACAGGGGTATAGTATCACCAATCAATAATAGTCAATGTTTCTATAAAAAAAAAAAGAAAAAAAGAAATGGCACTATAGAGTAAAAGAAGAGAACTGGGAGGAGAAAAAAAAAAAAAAAAAATGAACAATTTGATCACTTAATGGAATGATTGTTGAATATTGTTTCAAAACTGGCAAAGAAATATCTGGAGATCTTGCAGATAGCAATCTGGTAAAGAAAATAAAAATTTTACTGGGTGATGCAATTTCTATGTATATATGTTTATATAATGTAATGTAATGAACAGTTGAATCTTTAATTCACACTCGATTTTAACCTTTTTGTTTGTAGGTTTGTAAAAGAAAAGTTAACAAGAGTTGTAAAGACTGAAGAGCAGCTTCTATTTTTATGTCACCTCATTGGACCTTTTTTGCACAGATTTAATACTGACAGACAAAAATGCGTTTTTGATCTTACTCTAGAATTATATACATGTTTGGAGCAGGTGGACAAAAATGTTCCTGTTCTGAAGTATATGGACCCAATATCAGATTTATTGTATCCTTTTTATTCAATTATTATGAGTTTACCTAATGTTTGACCTAAATTAACCTTGTATTATCTATCATACAAAAAAGGATTTAGTGACCGATATTTTATTTTACACATATAGTGGAATGCACGCAGAGCACTACTGCCGTGTGGGTTTACGGATATAGCACCCTAATCCCAGATAAGATTTTTTTTAAATCTTCAGGATTTAAGTTTTCAGCTATTCTCTTTCTTTAATTTTTGTCATGCCAACACATTTTTAATTTGTATTATAGGGATTACTCTGCCGTTGAGCTGACAGGGTATACCCCTCTACTATATAAACAGATCTAATTTTAGTATGTGTTATTTCTCATTACCGAAGGTAGGGAAGCTTTTTATTTGTACAAGAGGTTAAAAAAAAATTTGTGCTCAGAATCAAAAAGTTTCACTCGGGTTTTATGTTTCAGACATCAAGGATCAAATTTGGTCCGGTGTCTGTCTGTAGTTAAATCGATGTAACGGGCATATTATCTACTACCGTTTATCCAATTTTCAGGGTTTGTGCGGGTTAGTGTCTAGATGGTCTCATATCAATTTCATCAAATTGTATTCAACATTTCCGCTTAAGCACTCACAAAAGTATTTTCTTAGCTTTGCCAATATTTCATATTACTGGCATGTCACCTGCTGCCGTTCTTTAGATTCCATGTGTAATTTTCAGTGATTGTGAGGGTTGAAATTTAGATGGTCCAGTATTGAATTTGCCAAACCCTATCTAAAGCTTTCATTTAGGTGTGCGGTTTTCCTTTACTATATTTGCACCTTGCATTTGTAAATTTCAATTAAATTTTGCAAAGACTTTAAAAAATAATGTCATATTTGTAAGTTTTTTTTGTTCCTCTTGAAGTTCAAACAACTGCTTGTGTTCCCGATTCCCCTCTCAAAAAAGGAACAGGGTATGATAATACACCACGTCTCTCTTATAACAAATGTGGATGAAAGCAAACAATGTCTTCATCTTGTACTTCACACACATCAAGTTCTTGAATCCACTCAAGGGTGAAATTGTCCTTGGAATTTTGTCATGGCTACCATTTTTGTGGTATAATTTTTTACTGTCTTCTTTTTTGGAATTTTTACATATAAACATTTATTTAGTGTACATTTTGGTACATCTGAAAAGATTTCTTCATTTTTTGCAGCTGATAATTCTATTTCAGTTCCCTCAATAAGATGTTGCTTCCATTGGATATTAATTTTTTCATTACAAAGTGATAGATTTATTTTATTTTTCCTGCGTGCCAGTATGAATTCTGCTCTTTCTAGGTTTTTCCTATCATTTATCAGTTTTTATGCTCATTTTAAGAAAAATACCTTATTTTCTCTTGAAATTTCGGGATTTTAATGAAAACATTTTTCTGTAGTGTTGTCACGAGCCCAATCAGATAGACATAAATGTTACTATCGCAGGTGATTAGTGGTTTAAATTAGGGCTAAAGCCATTATTGTGCAAACTATCAATAATGAGGCTCCATTTTTTGCATTAGGTTCCGCATTGTATCTATCAAAACTTCTTTTATTTTTTATTGAGTATTATAACATTCTGTCTCAATATGGAGACTGGTTACAGTCTACAAGAATCTAACCTTACAAAATATTCAACTTCAGAAAACCTTTTATGACTACCTTCCTCAATTTTTTTAGTAAGTTCAATGAATTTTATAATAAATAAAATTTAAGTAAGATGGCTTTTCAGATAAAACTTACATATAACAAACGGACATAAAATAGTATACAATGATGAAATTTTAGAGAAATATGGTATAACAAAAATATATTTTTTTCATAAAATATTCTCTCGTTTGCATATATTTAGTTGCTGATTATATGTGCTATAATAAGAAAGAGAACATGTGATTATTTAAGAATCATAATTGGTAAATGGTTGACTGTCGTGGATAATGAAGAGAAGAATAGTTGGGGTGGTCAGCCAAAAAAGAAGGCAAAAATAAATGATAATATTTATTTTTACATATGCCGACGTTTCGACCTGAAGTTCAGGCTTCATCAGGGCTAAGAAAATAACCAGATAACAAGGTATGAGAAACATAAGTAGTGATGGTAAAAAAAAAAAATTATAAAAAAAAATAAAGTAAAATGAAATTGTTAGAATAATGACAATAGTAAGAACTAAGAGATAAATAATAATAACCGTTACAAAGTGTGGAATGCTGAAGTAGGCATAATCAAAAAGGGTGACATAAGTATTAAAATGGGAATCTTAGAATAAAATGTAAAACATAAAAAAGAAATATGAATTCGTGATTATTTAAGGTTTTAGCTCAGATTACTCACATAAACAAATATGGACCAACGAAAAAAACAATTTTTTTTCAGACGGTGAAGGGGTTGGGTATTCATCTCTTAGATCTGCCAGTTGTTTTTGTGAAACACTCTCACATAAGAACTGAGCAATTTCAGTATTTTCCAGAAAATATCTTAAATATTTGGGGTCAATTTCCATAATTATAAAAAAAGCTTTGAAATAGGCTTATTTAAAACAGTTGCAAGTTTAATACACATGAGCGTGGAGTTCTTAATGATAACTCTGGTATGAGCATCTAAAATTCAACACACGATAGGAAATTTCTTATCATTGGCTTTTATACACTGGTAAACTATCTTTTTAATGTCATCCATTGAAAGCTCATAATATTTTACGCTTCCTGTCAATTAATAATGTTTTATAAACTTCTCCAGTAAACACCATAAATCAAGGATTTATTCCCACAAGAGACATATTTTGAAATCATATTAATGTACCTTGAGCCGGCCCGAGGTACATTATAAAACAGTGGCTCAAGTTACAATGATATGTCTTTAGTTTTTAAAGTTTATTTTTTTAGCAAAGTCCTAACAAATTTCGCTTTGAACTTGCATTCGAAAGAAGCTGAAGAGATTACTATACATCAATCAAATAATAATTTTGAGTTTATTTATGTACTTTTTTTATGAAAAATTACTATACCAAGTAATGAAAAATTACTTTTTCAACTATGAAACACTCTTATCAATATTATCATACAACGGAGCAGAACAAAGGCACCAAAATCAGCCGAAAAGTGTTCTGGCAGTGCAGGCAGAAATCTAATCTAATCTAATTCAATTTTGCCAGAAATCTTAAATTCTCCCTATCCCCAGTGAAATTTCTTATTCTTAGGGTGGCCCAAGGTATGCGTATTTCCCCTATATATTGATTATTTTTATTTTAAAAGGTGTACCGCATTCTTTGACTTCTTCTTGCCCATGTTTGCTCAATTGATAAAGAAATCCCAAAGGAGTAACTTATCTGTGGGTAACATTATTATAACTATTACAGCAATCAATTATCAAATATAATAACTAATACAGCAATTCCATTGTTCATAAACTATATTTATATAAATTGCATATTATCGAAACTTGTATAAATGTGTTCTTAAGCTAGAACATTATCATTATACGACTCTTTCTGGCACTCAAAGATTCTTTGCAATTAGTTAGATTAATATGATTTATGATTGTTGAAAATATATATTGTACTAAGCCATCATAACAAAGTTACAGGATAATTTGCGTCATTTTAAGTAATAATTCGATTAGTTTGATTTTTTTTATGATTATGGTCCTTATTATTTATTCTTAGATATCACATAAAATATATGTTCGTTGGAGATACTATGAAGCCTGAAGTAGAAACATTCATCAGGAAGCTACGTCCAGCTCTGCAAATGAGACTGCGGTTCATTGCTCACCTGACAGTAGAAGAAATTAATGACAAACAAGAAATGGTGGCTCAGACTAATATGCAAAGCAACATTCACGTGGCACAGAACAATATACAAACCAGTATTCAAAATAATATTCCTAATATCCAGAGTAATATGCAGAGCATTCAGAATCTACCAAGTAACCTACAGAACATTCAAAATAATATTCCTAATGTCCAGAGTAATATGCAGAACATTCAGAATCTACCAAGTAACCTACAGAACATTCAAAATAATATTCATGCAGCTCAAAACAATTTGCATTAGGTTTTGATGTTTATATAAATGTATATATGTTTTATAAATTGTAAAAAAACAATGTTTATGTTGGAATAGTTCTATTCCATTAGTTCTTGTTTTATCTCCAAATTGAGGTTTATAACGAATGCATTTGTACATACTAATTTTAATGAAAATAATGAATTTTATATTTGTATAAAAACGATATGTATAAATGTACGTAATTAAGTTTACAATTTGATTTCTCAACAAATAAAGAGAATTAATTTATTGTATGAACTTATTTTGTACTTAAAAAAACTACAATTTAGAGTGAAAGTGTGAGACCAAGGTACAACCAGGATTTAGAGGGGCTTAGTTTCATACATATGTACAAGCATACATCCTTAAAACATAAATTTTATTCCTTATTAAAACCAAATAATTCAATTTTAATTTTTTTAAAATCATTTACTTTTTGGCAATTGGAGGATGGCTTCAGCCTTTAAGTCTCCCTCTTTATTAGCCCAGTGTTTAAAGATGTTAGTGTGAGGAACTGAAAACTCCAACTTTCCTTTTTCTGTTGAATTAACAAAACAAACCAAATAAATTTAAATGTGGACCTTCCATTAAAATACAGTATTGCCGTTTGTTAACCACAATAGGCAACTATGTAGTAGAGTAGCCAAAAATTGTTTTAAAGATGTAAAAATTTAATGCATCAAACTCAGACATCCATTTTGCTAGTATTTTTACACCATTTTATTCTTAAAGTAGTATAGTTTGAAGAAGTTCTTGATCGTATTTCTGACAAAATGGAACTTAATTCTAGGTGTGCCCATAAGAAATTCACAGATATAGAGATTCTGCTAAAGCTATTTTTGCACTTTTAAACAAATAAATCATGGTCATCCTAAATTTTGCTACTGCGTCTTCATGGTTTATCTATTGGAAAATTCCTATCTTCCTCCAATAACATGATTCATTATTTACCCAAGGCAGTATTTTTCAGGCTCTTCTACCCTTGCTGGATGGTATATTATCCTATTCTCCACCTGTTATCCATTTTGTCCAGCAATTCTGACTTGCTAATTGCTCTCCTCAATAACAGTTCTTATATTAGCTGACGTTGCAGTGCACCAGCCAGGGTTCAGTTGCCGGCCTCATCAAGAGAGGAGACAGCAGGACCTGGAAAGTGTTTCGCCCTGGCTACCTAATTACAAACGCTATACGGATTCAGATTTAAATCGCATGGGCGGCTGATCCATTACAAACACTATATGGATTCAAACAATAATGTGGATATTAATTGGCATTGGTCTTGATAGTAAAATCTATATTATATAAAATGAATGTATGTCTGTTTGTCCTTTATGCATTACTAAACCATTCATCCGATCACCATGAAACTTTGGGAAGTTGTTGTGTACACTCCCGCAAAGGTTTCTGGCAAAGTACTTCTGTCTTACGATAATTTTATATGTGTAAAAAAATAAAAATGTAAACTTTTTTTGTTCAATTCAGAAAGTTCTTCACCGATTGCTTTGAAATTTTGACACAGTGCTGAAATCAAATTCAGAAGTGTTTTTGAACATTTTATTACCATCCGGCCTTTGGTTTTGAAATGGTGACCGAAAAACGTGCAGCTATAAACTGTAGCGCCAAAACAGCTTTAACAATTTTAACAAAACTTGGCTAAAGTCTTCCCCTTGGAATCCTTTTAATTTATGTGTATAACATACTTTCCCGAAAATAAGCTGCATACATTTTTATGATGAATTCAGTATTTTATTTGCAAATAACTCAAAAAGTATACAATTTTTACTGAAAATAACCGTGTTTGTTTGAAAGATTCCTGAATTCCCTACAAAATAAAAAATAAATCATCGAAATCGGACGATTCGTTGCAGAGTTATAGAATTTTACATATTTACTACTTTCTCTTCTGAAAAGGCCATTTTCCTTTATCTATGGACTTCCTTAAAACTCTTTCTATACCCAGCCTCACAATGAAAAGAGTTCCAATCTGAAACCTGCATTTATTAATCCATATCACTCTAGCAATGGAAAATGCTTCTTTTTCTATCTTCTACAATTCTTAAGTAGAGCTTCATCCAGCATACTGAACAGGGATATGTTCTGATGGCTATTGAATTTCCTCACATCTTGCTTGTTATGGGAAATAATTGCGTTCCTGTAGTATAATTTTCTAATGGCATATCAGCTTCAAAAGGTGGAGAAATATTACTTCCCCATGTAAAATATCATGTGTGGGCAGAGTGGCTGAACATGCTAAGGTGTGTGTACTGCACCACAGTTGCTGGGCAACCTGATCTATGAGGCAATGGATTTAAAATAGTCATGAGTTTGCATCTGGTGCCCCCAGAGTCTTTTAAATCCCTGGCCCTGGAAAACTCCATATAGCCTTAAAGGACAGCAAGGGGAGGGCAAAAAAAAGAAAAAAAATGCACTTTAGGAGTTATTTTTCATCCAGCAACGCTGACTTGCTAATTGCTTCCTACAATTCTTCCTAGCTGATAAAATTGGCTTAATCAAAATAAACATCCATCTCATCGCAACTAAAAACTGAGCTCTCTTCTAGCAGTTTCTTCATCCACCTACTTACTATATATTCCTTCCACCAAACAATGTTTCCATCATTACTTTTGTTTTCTTTTCAAAGATGTTGGCGATTCTTTCATCATTCTATTAATGTATCTTTACAAATACTCTATTCTGGTTCACTTTCACGCTTTTCTCAATCCAACGATTTTCGGTTGCCTATAGCAGGGTTATCCACACTTTTTGGACTGTGGAGCAAATTGAGACCTCGACCAAGTTTCCCGGGTCGCATTGAGACCTGCACCCAAGTCCAGCGGGCAATGGCATGTGGTTAAAAACAAAACCTTGTTCTATAAATGACACTTCAGCTGTGAAATGAGTTTTCTCACTCACAATCTGGCACTACAGAACATACAGGAACTTGGCCTCCATCAACGGCTTGTTCCATTCGACTCTGTCCATAGTATAACTTCTCCAGCGGTTTACACTTAAAACCTTCAGGTCTGCCTCGACATCGTCCTGCCATCGCAGGCGAGATCTCCCCCGCTTTCGTCAACCACCTGTCTTCTCGTAGAGCAGTTTTTTAGGGAATGAGTTTTCTAAGAAAAAAAAGATCTGAATAAATGTTATAGAAATCTTGTTTGTGAGTAATTTGCTAATTTTTTTAAAGTTTAGCATGCAATCAAAAAAACTTTCGCGTGCCAGATTGGAGGTGCTTGTAGACCGTAGTTTGAAGACCCCTGACCTAAAAGAACATATAGCTTCGTTTTTCCGTCATTTTTTGTGCAGAGAGAATAAAGCATTTCTTATTAAAAGTGTATAATACTTTATGATATGGCCCAACCTCATAATAGAATAAAAAAAGATAAAAAAAATGAAATTATTTTAGTTATTATTAATAAAAAATAATAATATTAATAAACTACGGTGTATGCTTAAGGCCACACGATAGAAGTGAAAACATCAACTTGGTGCTATAAATTATATGAAATTTAATTTTTTTTTGTTTTTATTCACCAAGAACATTTACAATTATAATTTGGCATAAACTATTTTTATTATATGTTCACTAAGTAATAAAATTTCCAGCATATTCAATTATAATTGTGTATAAATTAGTTTGGTATATTGAACTTTGTAGTGAGCTAATATTCAAAATTGTTTCTTCAAGCGACACCGCGCTAGAGGGACAAAAAGGAAAAACAAATGATATCGAGTTTTTATTTATTTATTTTTTTGTTGCTTTGTTACATGTTTTTGCCTTCCCATCCATCGGGTTCCTCCGATGGATCCCCAACATAAATGTTTTATAATTTTTTATAGCCATAGAATGATTGGGGATCCCACTCTAAGGGCCCAGAAAATCGTAATTTGTATTTATCTAGTAGCCCAAAAATAATTGTTTCATATTCGTTTATTTCCGCAATTATTTTGGGTCTCCTCGAGGGGTCCCCAACATAAATTATTTGTACTTTTTATAGCCGTAGAACAGGGGCCCCCCAAGGTCAATGGCGCATGACCTATTCCTCTTCTCTTTTTAAAAAATAGTGAAAGCTAAAGTAAAATTTTAAAAATCCAAAGTTACATACAATTACACTTTCAATGGTCTGTACTATACTTTTCTCTTGTTCTCTGGTTTGAAACATTTCAATCCAAAAATTCATAACCCCGTCGAAATGTGCCCTCTCAAAAATTCAAAACCCCGTCAAAACTTGCACTCCTCAAAAGTTTTGCTTGCTCAAACTTGCTCCATTAAATCCCCTTGTGGGCACCCCTGCCATAGAATGTTGGGAGTTCCCACTGAGACCCCCAAGATCATTGTTTGGTATTTTTCTCGTACCCCTCACAGAATTAGGTAGTTGTGAACAATCTGGTCCCTAGGGACTTTTTATCGCCGTTGAATGATTGTGGGGACCTCCCTTTAGTGCCCCGAATATTGTTATTTTGAATTTATTTAATATGTTTAGTCCCAAAAATAATTGTTGTTGTAGTTGTATTTTTTATGTATGCAATGTTTTGGGAACTCTCTGATGGGTCCCCAACATAAATGTTTTGTACATTTTGATCGCCGTAGAATGATTAGGAGCCCCTTCTGAGGTCCTGTAAATTTATTATTTAAATGCCTGAAAACCACTTATATATATGCCCCTTATCAGAACTATATATATATATATATATATATATATATATATATATATATATATATATATATATATATATATATATATATATATATATATACATATATACACATACACGTATATGCATATTTTCTTGATAAGGGAGGCCCACTTCAGACTTCAGGAGAGGGCTCCAAACGAAGCCGGTCCTAATTACTAAGAAGATGAAATGCTGTCATTTCTCTCGCTTACAGTATACAGGTTTCAATTTTAGGTTTTGAGTTATTTTAATCCAAATGATCAAAAAATTCATAATCATTTGGTTTTTTACACAATCTTTTTTTTCTTTTTGGATCTCTAACACAGCGTCGCGTCATGATACAATTTTTAAAACAGCTCATTTCAAAAAGAATTTAATGCTGAACATTTCCCTCGCTTATAGTATGCAGGTCCGATTTTTAATTTCCGAGATATTACGGAAAAAATGCAAAAAATAATCGATTCGAGCCGTCTTTACTCGAATGAGTGTAACTTAGCCGAGCGTAACGGCCGAATCTCATTCACTACCCAGAAGAAAAGCGCAACTTTGTTCGATCTGCTGTGGCAGCTCTCCACCGCCGGATATCAAGTCGTCCCAGATCCGCCTCTATGTCATCTATCCACGGGAGTTGTGGCCTGCTTCTCCTTCTTCCGTCTCGGTCGCGTCACTTTCCCACAGTTATTCTGGCACCAATTTCAGCCTTAAGATTGTTGGCGCTTGTCATTAAGGAGCCAAGGTATATAAACTCCTGGCATACTTGGAAATTATGGGAGCTGAGATGTGTGGTCTTATTGTTCTGCGAAGGTGACGTCAGCTACTCTTCGTATAAGCAGTCCTTTTTTCATTTATATGCAAATCCTTTGCCGCTGCTGCCACCTCAAAGTCCTCTAAAGCCCTTGTCAGTGCTGAAACGGATCTGGCCACAATCTGCACGTCGTCTGCATATGAAAGATACTGTGTGAGGTGGTTAAAGATTGTGTTTCTCGGGTTTGTTCTGATGACACGTACAGCTTTTTCCAAGCTCATATTAAGATCGTGGTTGCGGTTTTATCCCCTTGCAAAATTCCTTTCATTATCTGAAACTCGTCGGATAATACTCCCTGCAGTTTCACCTCACATTATGTATACAGATACCCTCATTGTCATTCTTACCAGCCTGGTATGTTTCCTTGAAACACTCAGGGATAGAAGATCTCTTAGCAATATTGACCCATCCACTGAATGATTGGCCTGTTTGAAGTAAATTATAAGATGATACAGATCAACATCATACTCCAAAAACTATAACAGCATTTGGCGCATTGTGAATATTTGTCTATTGAGGACATTCTTTGCGTTGGTACTCCTCAAATTCTCTTTTTATGTGAACGGCAAGCCTCCGGTTAATGGCAGTAGATAATATCTTTCAGGCCAAATTCAACTGAGAAATTCCTCTGTAGTTAGAGCAGCAGAACTCGTTGCATTTCTTATACGTGTTATAGATGACAACTACTTTCCAGGCCGCAGGAATCTTTTGTTCTGACCAAATATCATATAAGAGATGGTAGAGCTAGAGTAGAGATCCCATATTTCGTCGCCGCCATATATTAGCAGCTCCACTTCAATCCCACCTATCTCAGGGGCTTTATGCATCTTTAGATTGCTTACTATCTCCACCATTTCCTCCTGGTCCTGCAGGATGTCGTTCACATCCGATTCCTCAGATTACAGGTTCAGAATCCTATCAAGGTCAGCTTCCTTTCCTTGAAATATTATACCCATCTGCTGCTGGAGCATTTATAACATCATTATATATAATTTTATCTATTTTTAGAATGTGTAATCAACAAAATGACAATTTATAGTTTACAGTTTAATTTAGCCTTTAATTAACTATAAAATAATGAAATTAAATATTATTTCATGCCATTTCAGGTAGACGCTTGAGGGATCGTGGGGTGCCATAACATCCAGTTTGTGACCAATGTTCTAGAGTAATTTATAGTTTGTTTTAAAGTTACTCAACTGTCAAACGCTGTATTAAGAATTTCTAATAGTTTTGATAAGGAAAAAAATAATATAGTATATATGAAAAGTAAAATATAAGTGTTATTGTTCTGGTCCAAAGAGTTATAGGAATTTTATATTTGTAACTAAGGCATAAAGTATTTATTTCCCTTTTATTTCAGAGTTTTTTAAATTAAATAATATCGTCTGTGGATGCATATTATATTGGTGAGCCAAATTAATGGTTTATACCTCTAAAGACCATTTGTTGGTATATCGTTCCAAGACGTTCCATGAATACTATAAGGAAGGCATACGTCTGGTGGTTGGATATTTTAGTAATCAATATTAGGTGTAATGAGTAACCAATCTTAATTTAATTAAGAAAACGTAGTCTTATTAAATATCTCTCAACGTTGAAAAACGTACAATTTATCAAAGTTCTTAATATTTGCGTGAGTGGGAGAAATTACGAAGATTTTACGCTGATAAGTTTGAATATAAGAATGTATATATATGATTAAAATTTTTTAAATTATTTAATTTTATATTTTCTTGTGGAGCTATTAGTCAGATCTGGAACTGGATATAAATTCTAAAGTTGAAGAGAATTATGGCTTGATTACTCATACTGTTTTTGATAAGGTTGTGTTATCACTTAGTTCACTTACTGTTGTATACTCCTTCTCAACTGACATTCACCTGTTGGTTTTAATTATTGTAAAATGGATGGAAGTTATGGATATTCCTCTTACCAAAATGGTTTGGAAAAGAAGGATTTCAATAAAATTGCTCACAATGTTGGATCCAGTATTCAGAAGATATCACAAAATGGTTAAGTATTTCATTTCATCTTGAACTAGGTTTTAAGTAATATAAACTGTTAACAGTAATAATGATTAGTAGCTTATGTTAAATAAAATGATTCTTGACTAAAAAAAATTTTAAAAGTTTCTTGACTAAGTATCTAGTTAGATAATTTGTTCCTTAGGAGTAGTCATAAGTAAAAACATCATATTTTTAAAGTCAGTGGGTGAGGAAATTATATTTTACTTTACTTGAAGTGGACCAATAGTTGTCAGTATAATTTTTTTTTGTAAATGATTGTTTCTCAATATTTTTTTAAAGTACTTAATGATTTTTTTTTTGTGACTGCACTTTATGTTTATTAATCATGTTATATTTTTTAATGCTGATACTTTTTTCAAGCTAACATTAGTGACCTCTTCAGATAAAGCAGATTGTGCAACAATTATAAATAAACAATTGTTTTTAAAATTAAAAAATATGAATCATAATTTACAAAGTGATTATTAACTCCTGAACCAATTGGAAAGCCATGTTAATATTGGAGAGCTTTTGTGAAACTCCATGGGGGAAATTTATGTTCAAAACTATACTACCATCTTGAAACTCTAATATTTATTAATCTGACTTGGTCTTGATTATCAAGATTGGATTGTGCACTACTACTGTGTATTAGAATTTACATGAGTTATAAATAATTAAACAAAAATATGTAAGCTCTCATCTACCTCTTTAAAAGGTGAATGTTCTCTGCCTGTGTAAAGTTGGGTTTAAAACTATGAATTACATTTAATTTTCTGTGCTTGGTCCATTGGAGAATGCTTTTCTCGGGCTAGAGGAGGGAATGAGATAATTATACCATAGTTATAAGTATCCCCGTTACCCTGGTTTGACTGAACTCATACTCTTTGGTTTAGCAGATTGCCAAACAGCGCGTGTTTTACACCCGCATTATCCTACTCGGCCACCTTGCTCTGCATGGTTGATGGAACGAACAATTTAAACCTAGTACTTAAACCAAAAATATTAAATGACAACCATACATTTTATTCACGTTGTTTTTAGTCATATAACATATCAATTTTATCATGCATAATAATATAGTTAAACCATTCTGATATGCATTGTATTTGCAGTACTGTCCATGAAAAAAATGGTTAACCTATTAGGGACATCTCAAGATTCTCAAGAGTTGAGGCACAGATTGTAAGTACTTAGGTTTAGCTGTGAATAAAATAAACTTTATTGAGTTTATATATATTTTGTTTATATATATTTGTTTATATATAATGTATAGAGTTTATATAAGAACTTTATATAACAAACTGATTTAAATTTTGTGTTTTGAGTTAAATTCAAACAAATTTGCAGCTAATACATCAGATTTGCTAGATGCGCTGCAGCGCAGGTGCAAGTTTCATAAAATGTTAAAATAAAAAAAATAAATTTTGTGTTTGTTTAATTATTTTAAATTTCAATTTTTTTTTTTTACATGCATATTTTTTTTATTCATAGACATCAGATCCAACACTATACTAATCAGCTAGCAAAAGATACAACTTCAAGCTTGACAGAATTATCAGGAATTCCTGTGCCTCAGTCTCCTTCTGAACAGGTATTGTTGATTTTATTTTTAAAAATTTTTAATGAGCTATAATGTTTTAAAATTAAAAACAGATATAATGTAATGACACCACTTAAGTTGTAATTAGTGAAGTTTCTTTCCGTTTAAAATAAGACTTTTTTTGAGAAATATGATTGCTGAATGTTTATTTTAAAATTTCATAGAAATTAATTTTAAAATAAAGTACAGTGTACAGATCACAGAACTTTCACTTACCATAAATAAATGAATTCTGCTTATATATAGCTATAACTTGAGTATGATAGGTTGCCAGCCCAAGGGTTAACTCACAAATGGTTAATGACACAAATTGGTAATTAATGTTATCCTCCTAATATTTGGAAATGTATTATTTGTATAAGGTTATTGTGTGTTATTGTTTAAAGGTTGTGAAGTTATTTGTTTATCGTTGTTTTCAAGTCTGTACTGTATTTTCTTTTTAAATTATGTTTTTTCTTAGTGATTCCTTTAATAATATTGGATTTGTGCTGTTTTAACGACTTTAAAAAATGAAATAGCTTTTATTCTTCTGTTTCAATAGCTCAAAAGCGAAAAGTCGTACAAAACTGATATTAGGTATTTAAGATAGGTATATGCTTTAGATGTGACAGCAACTTTTTCCTTAAAATCGGCTAACCAGAAGTGCCACTTTATATCTACGCTGAAACACATTTTTTACAATTTTCTCAAAAATGGCTTCTAACGATTTTGATTAAACTCGGTGTATCATTGTATAATGAAGTGGTCTTTAATATCAATCAGGTGTTATCCCCATTGATGTCACTTTACAGGGCTTAAATGCCCAGTGTTCATATACGTCTTCCTCTAAAGTACCTTTAATATGGTTTATTTAGAGTTACGAAAAAATGCTAAATATAACTTTTGAAGGAATTTGATATTTGGATTAAGGAGAAAAAAATAAAAATAATTATTCAGGTCGAAAATGAATCTCTAGTATAATTCTAGATCCGATATTATATTTAAATAATCAGGTATCAACGTCCGTTTATTCAGAAAAATTGTTATGTAACTTTAAAAAAAAAATTAAATTAGTGAATAATTTGATGAATTTTCCTTTTGTGAGATTCCAACAGTATCCACTTCCAATTAGTGTAATGACTTTTGACCTGTCCATGACAGACAATGTAAATATCTTACTTCCATTTTAATAAACCTTGCAATGGAGAAAAACTGTTTAATAACTAATAGCCGTTTAATCCATAATCAACGGATCGTAAATCCATAATCAACAGATCGTTCAATCCATAAAATATCTATGGTAGGACACATGTTTTACTTTAGTCTGTTAAATACTTAATAATTTAATTTACTCCTCAATTTTGAAGGGGCAGTTCACCATCATTTTCAAACATAGGCCTACTAAAAATACTTGACTAGTTTATAGATTTCTTGGTATTATTTTTAGCAGTGACCTAAAAAAAAAAAGGTAGCATTTGTTGTGATTTTTTTAATAGATCACTAGGATTGCTAAGGCTTATTATTATTTTAATAGATATTTTATGTCATTTACTAATTGGAATGGAAGTATAAGTTCATTCATTATTGGTGGGACAGGTGCATGAAGCGTTCCTTTGCCTGAGGGTTTCCATAGTACACTCTTCTGACTGTCCTTTGATCAACTATTTTGTTATCTTGCTCCAGCCACCTAATTCATTGTACCCTTACGAATTGAGAAATATTCAGGTCATTATAGAGTGTGTACAGTTCCTTATTCTTTCTGTGTTAAAAGTGACCATTTTCTTCTTCAGGTCCATAGATGCATCTGAGAATCTTCATTTGAAGCATGCCAATGCGTTCAGCAAATGCTTATGCAATATTCAGATTTTGGACGTAATGTCAAGATTAGTCGGATGAGTCTCTTGTACTGTCTGAGTTAGGTTGATTTGCAATTGAGCATTGTACTTGTTAAGAGTAGACTGTAGGAAAGTACCAGTATGACACAATATATTTATGGGTTTCTTCATCAATAAAACTAATTATTTGTATATTTGTGGAGATAATAGGAAAAAAAAAAGATTAACTCTTTCTAAGATCATGCATTGTTATTGTGATAAACATTTGTCTTTTTATAGGATCTAGATTGATGTTTTTTTTTTTTCATATTTTCAGAGAGAATATAAAATGTTAAAAGAGCGTCTTGCTGAAGAATTAACTACTGCTCTTAATGCTTTTCAAGAAATGCAAAGGTTAGCTTGCCAAAAGGAAAGAGAAGAAATAAATAAAGCTAGGGAAATGCAACCTCCTATAAAAATTCCTCCTCCACCCAGTTCTCGTGGATCTAGTAATGGTAAATTATATTTTAATTTCCTATTAGCTTAAATTTTCTAATTCTAATGTATTTTAATTGATATAAAAACTATATTTTTAAATACATTTTGTTCACATTTAAATAATAAAAAACATGTGCTCCTATATTGTTATTTAGACCTAAGTCAGTTTTCCTACTGATCCCTAGGCTAATGTTCAAGGAATGTGGCTGAATATACTTGAATTAATTTTTTTCTGTAACACTCAATCTTTTTACTTATGTACTCACAAGCATATATAAAATAGAATGACTATGAATCCTTCGTTTAATTTTGTTACCACTGCTTTTGCATTACTTGAATATTTGCTGTTTTGTCTGTCTTGAAAATATTAGTGATAGTTGTGAATCTGTTATTATCTAATATAACTAATTCTTTAGAATGTAGTAGTTTACCAGTCGGCACAGTGCATATTAACTTATCAGGATTTCTTTCATTACTAAGCCCAACAATTTTATAGTTTCCGTTTCTTTGCTTCACAGGACCAAATCATCAGCATGACCAAGCACTGGTATTGTTCCACCCAGATTCAAACCTTTTTCAGTATGTAATACCTACCTAATGACATGTTCCAATGCTAAATTAAACAAGATAGGTGAAAGAGGTTTAAATCACGTTGTTTTAAACCCAAACGAACCTCAAAATTTTTGTTTGGATATGTAATTACCAATTCTAACTTTATTGAATCTTTCCGTCAAGCACATCCTAACTATACTTACTAATTTTTTTTTATTACCCTGCTCGATTAGAATATTATACAGCATCTGGTAATCAATAGAATCATTAGCCATTTTGAAATTGATAAACACCTGGTGAACAATACTGAACTCTGATTTTTTCTTTAATATTTACTTTAAAGAAAATATTTGATCAATAGTTGAGCATTCTTTCTAAATCCGCATTAATTTTCTCCAGTAATTTCCTTGGTGTATTCCGTGAATCTATTAGTAAGGATTAATGTGAATATTTTTTAACATACTGGAAGGAGGGAGATTCTTCGATAGTTGTTACAATCCATCCTTGAGCCCTTTCTGTAAATTGGAATAAAAGTAGATTCTTTCCATTCTTCAGGCAATCTCTCATTCTCCTAGATCTTTTTAACCAATAAATGTATTTTAACTACTCCAGTTTCGCTGCATGCCTTAATTAGTTCACTTGGAATATTATATTCCAATCGGACAATGTATGTTTATTAACACAATTTTAAACCAACACCCCTAAAATATGGCTACCGAAATTCTATCACTGATGAATTTCAAAGCTAAATTTCCTCAAAGCGGATAGCAATTTATTCCTAATTAGAAACCTGGTACCTAAACAATGATTTCTGTTTCCTCCGTACCCAATAGTGTCAAGATTATTCCTTCTCTTCCGTTCAATTGGAGATCCACTCGACTTGGAACTACAAAGGGCTCAATCACTCTCAACTTATTGTCTCTTTACCAAAGCTACTACTACCTTTGGAAAAGCATCCCCTACTGGTGTTTCTTCCTTGATCGCTTGTTTTGCCATGATATCGTCTAGCTCATTACCTCTAACACCTGAGTAACCCGATAACCACAAAAATTGTATCTTATATTCAACACTCTCCAATGTTTTTATTTGTCTAACTGTGTCTGTCACTAATAAATTAGTTGAAGAGGAATTTTTCATAGCTTTAAGAGCAGATTCTAAATCTGTTCATATATAAATTTGCTGTTTATTGCAGTTAAGACTACAAACGGCACGATTTATTGCAAACAGTTCTGTTCTGCATTGTAGGAAGTGCAATATGGCGGTAATGAGAACATTTGTACATTGTCAAAAACAGTTTTTGATCCATCTGTCTAAACATATTCTCTATTGGAATGTTTCAGTTGAAGTCCGAGAGCTCTGCTAATCTTAACTTTGACATAAGGGCCTTGTTACATTTGACTTTATGTATTTTAGGAATTGATAGCAGCCAGGGCTTTATTTGCAATTTCTGTACTTTTAGAAATGAAGGAAAAGTGCAAGATCAAAGTCTGTGATGTGTATTGAGAACCTTTCTGCTATATATAATTTAGTTAGTGTGTTTACAAGAACTGTTGTTGGTATAACGAATGTGTTTTTTAAAGGATTTGTGGTTCTAGAAATTATTTTTATATAGAACGCTAAGTCTAAAATTTGTCTTCGTATAGCCATAGCATTATAGCAGCTTCCACTTGAAGGCTCACTATGGGGCTTGATTAAAAAGCACTGGTGGCTTCTCGAAGTGTTGAGCATCTCAAGTGTCCTATTGCTAGCGGAACCATATACTATACACGCATAATCTAATGTGCTTAGTATAAGTGCCTTGTTTAATCAAATTATACTTATTCTATCAGCTCCCCCTCCCCAGCTGTGATTACTTAACGCTTTTACGATATTTAAAGCCTGCAGGCAATTAGCCCTAAGCTGTTTTACATAGGGTTTCCATGTAAGAGCATGGTCTAAAGTGACACCAAGATATTTAATATACGTTGAATACAATAAATCCTTCCCATTAATTTTAATATTTTAAATGGTAAAATTTCGTTTTCTTGTAAATAATATTGTCTGTGTTTTGGTGATGGAAAATTTAAAACAATGGATTAAGAAGGCAAATGCAGTTTACTACCAAACATATAACACTGTGGTAGGGAAGAGAGAAGTAGACAAAGATGTCAAGCTACACATCTTCAAGACAGTATATCATCTACCCATACTTTTGTATGGAGCGGAGAGTTGGATATTAACAGACAAAATGAAATTTCTGCAAAGGGCGGTTGGAAAAACAAGGAGAGACCGAGTTCGCAATGAAAGTATTCGTCAGGAACTGCAGTTAGCCCCACTGAAAGAGCTCCTAGAAACTCTCTTAGCTAAAGTGGTTCGGCCATGTTATCAGGATGGACGACCACAGGGATCCTCTAAAGACCATTGAATATGTCCCAGATGGCAGAAGACCTAGGGGCCGCCCAAGGATGTCCTATCTCGACTACATTGAGCGACTCTGTAGGGCGAGGGGAGAAGGACCTCCGACAGGCGAGGAACCTAGCTAGAAATAGGGAAGAATGGAATTCCTGGCTGAATGCTCCTCTACGCAGAGAGGTGCTAAAGAGGGAAGCAAAAGAAGACAATTAGCCCTAAGCTGTTTTACATAGGGTCTCCATGTAAGAGCACGGTCTAAAGTGATACCAAGATATTTAATATTTGTTGAATACAATAAATCCTACCCATTAATTTTAATGGTAAAATTTCATGTTCTCATAAATATTATTTTCTGTGTTTTGGTGATAAAAACTTTAAAACCATGTGCATTAAGCCAAGATGTTACACATAATAGAGATTCTTTCAGAATTTCGTGAATAAGCGTAGTATCTTTACTCTTAACATAATTTTTTTCCTTTACACAATGCAAAATTCAACAATAAACTTGATGAAGGTATGAATGATTAAATATTAAAATTTTCTAAAAGGAAAAGAAAATCGATTAAATTTTGTTAAATAATTGTATTTTGTGAAGAAACAAAAACAAGTTCTTTGCCATCTTCATATTGTTTTTTAAAATTTCACTAATATTGAAATCGTAGTTTTAAAACCTCTGACTCTTATTAAAGTTTTAGTACGACTTTAAGGATTGAAATTGATGTTTGTTTCTTCTTGAAATCCCCTTTCTTTTGACAGTTTGTTTGATAAAATTTGTTGTTAATGAGAGCCGACAAAAGCTTTTGTTCTACGGTATTCTACATATTTATTTCTTAATATATAGTGCTACTATAATATAATATTCCTGTATTAATAATGTCTGATTAAAATAAGTTTTTAAAATAATCAATTTCTTTAAACTTTAAAAATGCTTACAATAATTGTATAGAATTATTGACATATTTTGTTAATTGTTATTCAATATTGCAGGAACTCAGCTAATTGAACTTCAAGATTCTTTTCAGCAAAAACAAATGCAGGCCCAATTTGAAGAGGAGCAGAGAACTTTAGAATTGATTGAACAACAAGAAGAAGCTATCAGACAATTAGAGGTAATCTCGTATTGTTTCATATAAATATCACTCATCAGCTGTAATTTAGTTATGTTAAGAAATTGGTTGGGATGGTGGGATGTGATCAAGAAAGGAAACACCCAGTAACTGTTCAAATTAATATCTACTTTCTGGACTCATCAGCTTGTTGAAGCCCTATAATTTAAACCAAAATATCAGGACACATTAAAAGAAGTACCATGCTTTATGAATTTTATTTATTGACCACAATCTCCAACCAAATTCTTGATTTTTGTTTGATGTAATTTTTCTGAAAATTCCTGTTTACTATTTTCTGAAAATTTTTGTTTACTATTGTGTATGTATACAATAGTGTTGACTAAGTATATGAAACAGAGTGGCATGACGTCTATGTATTAAAGCTAGGATATCAACATTAGTTAAAAAATAATACTATATGACTTATTAAACTCATACTTTAAAATATATCATGATGGGTTAAGAAAAGAAGCATATTATAAAAATACTCCTTTGAAGGAATTTATAAAGAACCAAGAAACTATAAAGAAATAAGTTGGTATTTATCATGTTAAAGAAAAATATATGGTAAAAATTGATAATTGAAACATTTAATAAATGAAGATTGAATTATGAATGAAGAAATAATATGAAGATTGAAGTATGAAAGCTGATAATCCAACTTGGTAGCCACGTCTTCAGAAAAGAACAGTTGTTCTTTACACATTATACTATTGTTACACAGTATAATTTGCCACTTCATATTTATAAATTATTTTCATAAATCAAATAATTTTTTATTATTAACTTTTTTTTTTTATATATTTTAGATTGATATTAGCTCAGTGAATGCCATGTTTCTGGACCTTGGAGCTCTTGTTCACAGCCAAGGAGAAATCATTGACAGCATAGAAGCACAAGTGGAAACTGCTGAAGTTTCAGTTAATATGGGGACTGATAACCTCCGCAAAGCTAGTAACTATGCTGTAAGTTTTTATTAAATAATTAAGTATTGATGACGCTATAGGAATTTTGATACTACAGTATATTTCAAAAATTTTGTTTGCTAGCACCATGGGCTTGTTGTGTGTCATAATTTAAAATCAAAGAAAAATTATTATATCAGCGAATTTTCGGATACTTTTTACTAGTTCTCAGGCTTGAGAATCCATCAAATTGTCCACTCCAAAAAACTCAAACCTGAGTCTAGTGAACCTTTTGTAGCAATAGATAAATATGATAGACAATTTCATCTTCACTGTCTATGCCAGGACCTTCAGAAAGGTGATTCAGCCAGCCTGAGTTTGAACACATGGCAATTTAATTTATGGTGACTTGTTCAAATTGCAATAATTCTACTCAGAGATGTCATGTCTATTTTGAATTATAAAATCATTCTTTTTGGAATGAAATCCTTTAAAAACATCTTGTAGTGGAGCTGCTTATTTTCATGGCAGTATTGTTTCACATTTGCACTGTAAACTTCCCTAATTTTCCTTTTGACGTATTTAAGGCTTATGTCACAATTGGTACAGTTGTTATGGAATATTCTCTGAGATTTTCCTGACTACCTTGGAAGTTTCCTCTTGGTTGCCTGAGATTCTAGAATACCCTGGCACCCATTTAGCAGTTACATTATATTAAGCTAGTTTATTTGCAATTGCATTTCAATCTTTTACTTATAACCTTCGATTTTGTAGAATAATCGCTAAGTGCTCCTATTGCTGTCGGTATTAAGTCTAAACATTTTACCCTTCATTTAGCAGTGTAGAGGCCTAATAGCAGATTGCTAATGCTTCAGATTAAAAAATTGAATTGAGGGACTTTCTTGAGGTTTTCTCTTCTCCAAATGATTTAAATAAATAAACTCCAAACGTGATTTGCTGGATTGTTGTAGGCTGTGAGAAAGAAAATTAAAACCATTGTTTTAATAAAAATTGAAAATTCAAGTAAGTGTTCTATTGCAATTGTGACCCATTATCTCAACTACGAGGCAATGCAATTGTAGTTAATTACTACAATTTTATGGAATGTAATTTTATTTCTAGGATTAAGGAATTTTAATTCATAACTGATATTACATATTGCCTTAAAAATGGCAATTATTATAGATACATACTCATCTAAATTGTGGCAACCATAAATTTATTAGGAATTACAATAAAATGTTTTCACTTAAAATTTTGTTGGATTTTCCATTATTATGAACTATAGATATTTGTCCTTTGCCAAATCTTTTTCAGATTACTTCTGCATCTTTTTTTGACTACCCATTTTACTTAAATTAAAAGTTGAAAACAGAAGATGGAAACCTCATAATATCCCAAGCTTCCCTCTTTTTATGACATGAGCGCTGTTTTTTTTAGAATTAGAATACCCTAGACCCTGTTAAAATCAAGAGTTCAAGTGGCCATATTTAACACACAAATCTTAAATTAGTTTCTTGACTTTAACACATTTAAGAATTTTACAATACTTAGCACGAATACCCTTATCAACTTATTAATTTTATTATCTATGAATATTTATATTAAATATCTTTTTTATTTATGTTTTAGAATTCACTGCGCAAGAAAAAATGTATTTTCCTAATAATTGGAATAGTGACACTTTTGTGTTTGATTTTGCTCATTACTTGGAAGGCAAGTTAAGTAAAAAAAAAAAATTAACTTAAAGAACAATGAATCAAAGGTTGGCCAACAAAGAGAATTGAAAGAAATAAAAAAAAAAAAAAAATACTCAAGTAACCAACATGTAAAACAACTAACTACTTCTGTGATGGAGCACTTGCTATTGCTGTCATGTAAAAAAGTTATATAGTACATGATTAGATGTTATTATGATGAGTATTATTGAATTGTAATTCACGGAATTAGAAAGAGCATTTCTTTTTATAAATCACATTATGCTTGATTTCTCAAGTTCAGGTGTATGGTTAAAATAGGTGTGTTGAAATGATGTCAGTATGGTCTGTGATAGTGTAAAGAAACGGATTTGTATATGCATAAGTATCTATACTTAATGCACTAATGTACATCATTTAGGTACATTATTCAAATAAATGATTTTAATTAATAGTGATAATATGATTGGATTTTATTTTAATTTGTCTATCAAAGTGGATTTATTGATTAACTAAGGAGGACCATTTTATGATATTTATTATAGTTTTGTTTAACAATGATTGTTCATGGTTAAAATAGTTCTGTAAAGTATTTCTTTTTTGTGCAATTAAAATAATATAAATTGTAGTTAAATGTGTAAGTTCATTCATCATAATTCAAGTGGAAATTTTCTTACACACAGATACATACATATATACACATTTACATATATTGTGACAATTTCCACTTTATATAAATATATATTTTATTATAGAGTTTATAAATAATATGGTCATTTAAAAAAAATAAATGTATAATTCAATGCTATTCATGTTATACATGAAAATACTAGCAGACTAGTATATGATTCACACATGCAGGTGTATTTTTTAGTATAAATGTAGTGGGCATATAATCAAATTAATGTCGTAAACTCATCTTATTGTTGAAAGAAAGATTACTCATTGTTAAAAGATAGTTACCTCTGATCAAGGTGTAATTGTACATTGCATATATATATTTTTAAAATAATACTTATTGAAGTTTATATTTACAATAAATCTATAAAATATACTGATACAGATCAAATATAAATAAGGTGATTAAATACATTTTATAGAAGCGTTCATATTAATTTAATTTTTTTTTTTTTCAAGAATAACTCTTGGTCAAAATCCTTCCACAAATTGTATTAATTTATTTTTCTTATTTATCAAAATAAATTTATTTTGATACCATGTTAACATCTATAAACATGGCAATCTATTCATTTACAATTTCATAACTTTTATAAGGACTCACAAAAATATGATTTAAATTGTCGTTAATTCTAAACCAGTACCAGTGATAGTGATCCATTTATTAATCCTAATAGCCTGCTCCGCTAATTTTACTCAAATTAGTTTCCCCATTAAAATTATCTATAAATCACTTGTGCTGCATCTTTCGTTCCTGTTTTAAGCTGTTGCACTTTAGTTAGAAGAATTTCTGGGAACTTAAAATTATTCTTTTATGTCAAGTAAAGTCTACGATCTCATAAGGTTTTTGTATTTAAACCTAACATTTTAGTTTAAATAAGAGTATGATCAAATATTTATTAAAAAATAATAGGTAGGAAGTAGTGAAAGTGCCTGAATTTATTGCCATATTAAAATATGTAACAATCTTATATTTTGATTTAAATTAATTATTAAAATATAAATTGTCTCATTAGCAGTATATGAATTACAATGTTTGACTTTTTGTTTTGAAGATATCGATAATCGGCTGTTTTACTTTTTCTTAATCTTATTTTATTTTTTTGTCTTCACCTTTTAGGCTATACAGGGGTTTACCCGGGCAAGGGGTGAGGGTGAGGAATTAATGCCAGAGTTAAAAGCACCCTACGGCACTGGGATTCGAACTCATACTTTTCTTTATCGTCTAAACTTCAGTTATCAGGTTGCCGGGCAAGGGGTGATACTGTACGCACGCATTAGTCCACTTGGCCACCTCACTCCCTCGGTCTTTTTTCATGTAATTTACTGAAATGGAACAATTGAAGCATTAAATGCTGTGTATCGAACAACAAAGTTTAACACCAATTCATTCCTCCCTTGTTTACTCATATTGCAGAATTAATTTAATTTTTGTTATATAACCAGATTGATGGTAAATTTCCACCTCATCTATATCCACAACCTGATATAATTAATTTCTTATTCTTTCCTCTAAAAAATACTATAATAAGTTTCTTAAAGTTTGAACTTATTAGTTGCAATTCATCACTGAAAACTGAAAGCTGTCCTCTGTATAAGCAAAATCGCAGGTGAAAAAAAAGTCCTGTTCTCGTTTCCTTAAATATTAGCATCATTATTTGAATTGGTGTCTTAATATGTCATCAAATTGCCTACATAACTGATTATTGTAAATTTAAAAGTCCTTTCTGCTATCCTGTTAGGCATTTCTAAAATGAAATTGAAAAAAAATTGTAAGCTTGCATGTTGTGAATCAATCATGTCGGCAGAAGTGTTTAACCATATTAACTGTTGAATCTCAACTTTCCAGGGGAGTCAAACTAATAATTGTCATTTATAAGTTTTATGACGAGTTTTACTTTTTAAAAGAAAATGAATTGTTAGTGCGTAAAATTTATTCAAAAATAAAATAACCCTGTTTCACACTTCTGCAATTTACATTTAAATTTAAATAGAATTATGATTTGGATTAATTTCCTATTAGAGAATGGATTTCTTGAAGCTTACATATTGTTTTAGTTCAAAATTATTTAACATTTATGCTATTTCTGAATCTCAAGAAGTGTTAGACACAATATGTTTTCATGGTGATGTAAGCTACAAAATTAACCTATTAAATAACTATGAAATAAAGTAGATTAATAAGATTTTCTTTTAAATTTAAAAATCTTCAACATAGTTTGTATTTTTTGTAAGTGTATTTTGCCAAAGAAATCAGTTAATAATCTTGGATTTAAGAATATATTTAATTTTTATCTGATATTTAATTACACATTATCTTTAAAAAAATATATACCAATTTTTAACTACTCACAGAATTATTATTGCTGTTATAATTAAGCAATTAATATTATGTTTTAATTTGGAGGTATGTCAGTCACTAGTCTATATTGTAGCAAAAATATTCCACTCAGATTTTATCGAGCCATATAAGCCAACATACTTTTAATAGTTGTTCTGTATATATAATTAATTATCAGTGCTAATATCTAGTATCTGAATACTTAATAAAATATTGAACAGGATGAGTTGGGTACAATATATAACTGTTTATAAGTTGAAGTATTAAAGTTAGTATTATTAGTATGAGTTAAAATTTAATATTAAAATTTCTTACATTAAAAATAAAATCATTGCCTTCATGGAATTTTATTTTGTTTAATTAGATATGTTGTGCAATAAAATATTACAATTATTTTATATGTGTTAAAAATATTTATTTATCAAGTTCATGGATCTCCAAACTTTTTGGTCCGTGGGCCACATTAAGACCTCTACCATGTCCTGAGGGCCATTGTTTCTGATGAAAACAAATATCGTGTACTGTGAATGACAATTCAGTTGGAAAATGAGCTTGCAAAGAGAAACAACTCATGTAATAAAAGTTGTACTAGTCTCCTGTTTGGGTGATTTACTAAATTCCATATTTATTAAAATTTTATCATGTAATCAAAGAAGAAACTTTCGCGGGCCAAACTGGAGGTGCTTTAGTTTGGAGAACCCTGATCAAATTGGTAGAAAATAATAAAATAAACTAGTGGTTAGGAAAAAACTTTCATGAAATGATTTGTTTTATAATGTGCATTGAAATTTTATGATGTAGAGATGGTTGACCGTGATATAATATGAGGAGTTTATCGGGGAGTGCAGTCAAATAAATACTAAATTATAGAAATAGTATTATTTAATTATTATGCCCTGTATTTAGTAATTAAATAATACTATTTCTATAATTTAGTATTTATTTGACCGGACTCCCGATCAACTCTTTCTCATATATGATTTTATTGACATAATGGTCAGTTTTACCATGTTATAACAATTAATTGAGGAAACAGTGTAGCTTTTTGGTTATAATTCGGGGTGGATTACTTATTCTTGTTAAATAAAATTATTGAGTGAGTTAGTAAGAACCATTATAATCTACTTAATGCAAGTTTGTTAATGTCTTTGATGTTATAATCACTTAAATTATCTTTCGGTAAATAAATTTATCCTACCAACTCAGGAGCCTGATTTATTGATTTTCCATAACCAGAAAACATCTGCAATGGGTTATAAATATATTGCAGACGTTTCAGCAAAAATTTTGCAGTTGATTTTATCACCGAGCGAACAATATAATTTGACCTGACCAACATCACTTAGTCATTCAATGCTATTTTTGCTGTAATTTGATAAACAAACCATTTAGTTTTTTTTTTACCAGGCAGAAATGGTCTATCATTTCAAATTCAGTTTGTAAACTAAACTTAATAACTTAGGCTCATACACTAATGATGTAGTACATTTGTTTTAGCTAATCTCACTAAGTAATATTGTTTTGTTTTTTAATGACTTAATTTATGCTTTTAACTGCGCCTAGATTATATCATCAAAATCTTTTTATTTCTGAATGCTACTTGATCCTAACTCATCCTGTCAATTATTATTATTAGAAGACTGTTATTAACAACCAAGCTGGAATATGTTATTTTTTTTTTTTATTAACATTTTATATTTATCATGTATATGCTGTAAATAAACTTATTATATTGATACATACATATTATATATATATTTAGATTTAAATTTGTTTTATTTCTTTGATTAAGTATGTTATTTGTTATCCGTCCTAACATAATCCATTCTTTTCTAATTATCTGGAAATAATATCTACTTAAATTGTGATCTAACAATGGTTATTAATAAAAATTTTAATTTTAATTATTAGTTTGTTAATGAGCACCTCATTCTTTGTAATTTTCATGGCTGTAAACATCTATTTAAATGTGTTGTGTAACGAGACTAACGTAAATATTAACAATTCATTGTTATAAATTAGTGACAAAATAACAAAGAGATTAAAAACCTAACATAAATGTTAGGTTATTAATGGAAAAATTCTAAACCATACAACACAGCCCCACGACTCCAAAATGCAGGTAAAGAAAAAACCCGTCAGCAGTTTTCCAATCCAGGAATCATCATGACAGAAAAAAAAACGTTACCGAACATCACTTCATAAAATCCGATCTCGTACTACATATTTAAGACATAAAGCTGGGTTTTGAATTTTTCAAATAATCTAACAATAACAATTCACAATACATTCTTTATACAATGGTTGATTTTCTCTCTCAATGATTAAGGACATTGACAACTTATATGATGGGATATGCTTTAAAAAAAAAAAAAAAATGAAATTTAGAGCGAGATTATATCACCATGAATGTTTACCATAGCAACCTCAAGTCAGCAGCCGTGCCAGTTCTGGCTTGGGCCAATTGAAATTTATGTTATGACAGACCTACAGTCAACTTTCCAACTCAGGCTAGAATAGGTTAGTTACCTGTAGAATAATCTGTCTTTGCCTCAGTTGGAGCACATTAAACAACACAAAATCGCTAACATGAATTTCTTAATTTCATCTGTCATCATGATTCACGACCTATAGGGTATGGGTGCTAGTTCATCTTTGTATTAAAGAGGGATCAATCAATGTGATTTTATCACCATGTAAATCTTTTGAGGCATTGCTATAGCTGTAGATTAATATGGGCATAAACTCCAAAATCTAAACTTAAGCCTATGGAGGGTTTAACATATTCATACTTAACTTACTTATTTCATGAAATCTATTATAGTTCTATCTTGAATTAAAACTGAGCAGATGATAAATTATCTTAAAATTAATAAACGTATCCTTTGAGGTACATTAATTTTTGTTTAGTAGATTGCATGCAATTTTTATCCAGTTTTGGATGTTAGATCCTCAAGATCTTAATATTGTTTAGTTCATGCATAAGTACTCTATTATATCCGACATAAAGTTAAATGGAAAAATGTCTCTACCTATTGCTTCAACATATAAACAAAGTTCTTTCAAATAATTTATCATCTTGATTGTCACATAAAAAACAAAAGGAATTGATTCAATGTCCATAGGTCTCACCAAAAAAATAAAAAAAGAAGTGCAAAATATTAAAGGTTAAAAACAAAATAATTTATTATTTCACTTTATAAAACACAGACTTTATTTGAACTTTTATTTACTGGAAACATTATGTAGCATTATGCGTTAAACTGGAAATGAATTGCATACTATGTTTGGCCTAGTGACATAAGATGAAATCAGAAAACCTACAAGTATAAATACTTAACACAATCTAAGTATTGAAGTACTTATTATTACCTGAAAGGCACAATGCTTACAGTATACAATATACATGAGCGCTTACATAAGGATTCAATATTTATCCATTTGATCCACAGGTCATTCATTAAAACACTAAATCATAGCCTATTTAATATAATAGCCTTTCTCGAAATATATCAATTGCATCTAGATACATATTACCTCCAGTAAAAAACACACATAACTTTCAAGGCGTCACAAGTTGATGGGAAAATTAACAACTAATAAATAAAATATTTAAAAAAGTATAAACAATACCAAATTCAATCAGATTGATCAATAAATCAATTTCTTGTAATAGGGGTTTTTACAAAAATGCAATGAATAATGTTTTAATTACTGAAAAGTTCATTCAGAAATATAATTTATTGAATTAAATGAAAATTTAATCTCATTGTTGAATATATAGTGGGATCGAATTTCTCGCTTAAAAACCATGGACTTTAAGTTGATCAGGTTTGGCGAGGCCTGTTTTAGTTAACCACTGGCATATATTCTCCCTTTGGTCTCCTTGTAACTGTAGAACTTCTCCGTATTCCGGATGTTCAATCACAGTTCCATTGCAAGCAAACTCCTGCAGAGAAGGATTAAATCAAATTACAGAAAATTTATAAGACAAATATAATAACTAAAAATTATAAATTATTTAGCTGTACCTTTTTACATGCTCGCACGATTTTTTTCAGGTCATACTCAGAAGAAAGGCCCTGCACAGTAGTTAAAGTTTTACGACCATTTCGTTGTTGGATTCTTATATGAACAAGACCATCCTGTACATCATCATCTGAACCCTTAATTGCATCAGCAAAGGGGTCTAAAAATATTAAAATAAAGATAAATAATTCAATAATTTTGTGAAAAGTAAGAATTTAAGTTACAACTAGTAGTAGTAAAACTAAAGAAATGCAATGTTAATAAAACTGCAGACATTAATTAATACAAAATAACAGAAATAAACAACTAGAGAAAAAAACAATGAATTCATTTGATTTCAAAACCTGATCACACAATTTTTCCACAAAATAAAAACTAGAATGAACTGAAATAATCTTTAGTAATAAAAACAATTAAACGCCAAACAACATGAATAAGATCCACAAAACATGAGAATATTTGACAAAATAAGCATAACAACAAGCAAGGGTTCAATGTCGCCATTTTTATAAAACACGCAATATTAAGGTATAAAGTAAATGCTTACCGAATGTATTAAGATTCTGGATGGACATACGATACAAAAAGATTTCACTACTGAAATAGATTCTGCAAAATGCAAATGTTCACCAATTTTGAAAACGTAATAAATTTAAACTCCCTTCTAAGAAGACTGGAATGAAATTGTCTACTGAGAGCCTTGCACTTGGTTAGGGAAGAAAGATTGGTCACTCACAGAGAAGGTTCAAAGAGAGGGGGAGCCACTCCCAGCGGAATTTTAAAACTAATCTGCAGCGCTCCTACATTGTGGTACCTAATTTAACTGGCGGCTAGTTGGAAATTTTCTTCAAGTTATCTTTATTTAATGTTTCATCATAATAATACCTCAGAAGTAATAGTTGGAAAGAACTTCATAAAAATATTTTTCCTTTTTAAGAAAAACATTTTTGTATGAACTCTTCATACGTTGGTCCTAAATTAAAAACAAAAAATATGAAATTTGTGGTAAATTTTATTGTCTGAGATTGTTTGAGTAAAAGTCGCCTATTTTGGGATTTTAGATTTTTACCGAATATGGTTTATTTTTTCTTATAATAAATGAAAGTTAATAAAATTATCAAAACTTTTATTTGATAGATTTTTTTTTCGAATCCCAACCGTTTTTGAGCTACACGCTAGGAAGAAGCTGTCTAATAAGATATGTGGCCACATTCCGAATTCGGGAGAATGTGGGTGTTAAATCGTTGCGCGACACCATGGAACAGCAGCAACTAAAATGGCATGGACACGTCTGTAGAATGGAAGATGCCAGAAAAGCAAGGTACATCTCATTTTGGAAGCTAGGCCGGAAGAAAGACAGCCTCATGGCAGACCCAGGTGCATGTACTCTGATTACATTGGAAAGCTGTGGGCAGCAAGAGGGCGCACCATCTCGGAGATGAGAAGACTAGCCAGGGACAGGGACTAGTGGGATAGATGGACTGAGACTGCAACTCCACGCTTGACGGCACACAGGAGTTAAAGGAAGAAGAAGAATACCCATTTCCAAGAAACGATGTCAGATTGAATGATAAATTACAGGTCTATATGTGTATCTCAAGTTTGGTTCAAAATATATTTAACAATAATTGACAGGAGGTTAAGAAGTGTGGTTGAAAACCTATCTATAAAAGAGGGCGAAATGTAGGTTTTGGAAAAAACAATACGGAAGAGAAAAGAGGCAAGCATTGGTGTACGCTTTTCTTTTTCTCTCCCTTTCTTCTGTATTTTTACTTTTAATTAACTATTATTGTAAACATTTAATTTATTTATGACCACACAGACATGCATTCTGTATTTATAATTTGTTCTAAAGAGACAACAGTCCCAGAATAATAAAATATATTTTCATTTCATTTCAGTTCATTACTATGAGGATGCTTTATAAGGGTCGCGATGACTGTAGTAAATTAGTAAATAGACACTCGTTCTTCAAGTTTCCACAAGACTCCCTAAGTATCCTGAGCTCAATCAAAGACAGATCCTGTCCACGGAATTTTAGGCTGCTTTGAAATTGACAAACTAGGCGTACAAACTAGAGCACCTGCTAAATGGGAAACTCCTTCCTCTTTTGAATCTTGCTAGTTGGTCGCCTATTAAATTTTCATCATTTGGATGTGTCCGGTTTAACAGAATATTTAGAATTAAATTACTGGCAACCGGAAGGAGAGCTTTTTTTCTGTAATCAACACATTAGCTACATCTTACATTAGCCTATTTATAATAAGACAGATTAGACACGTGTTGTAAGCCTCTAATCCTTTTCTACAACCAAAATTTCTAGATGCGTTGTAATAGCTTAGTTCTTAGGTATACTCCTCCGTTTTTAAACAGGATAGTAAACTGTCCCTATGAACATTTAAGTTTGTCGATAGTTATTTCCATATTCAGAATGCCTGTTTTTTTTAACCTGTTGAGGGCCGAGGTCCTCATTGTGTTTTGTCTTCGTTTGTGGTTTCTCTTGATTGAGAAGCTGCTGAAAATGACCGCTCCATACGTTTAGCATCTTTTGATCCCGGTAGTTTTCTGCCATCATCATATTTTCGTTCCATATGCCTATTTTTCGCTCAATATCATACCCTCTCTTTCTCTATGAATTCGCATATATTTCAAGATTTATGCAATGATTTGCATTATTCCTTTGATGAATTTCTTTTTTGCCGTGTTAATCAACTGAGACAATGGGTCCGAATTTATTCTTTGGCACAATTTGGAATTACATTTCCATACCTTATCATTTCCTGTTGATTCCTGATTTTTTTCATTTGTTGATTCGAAAATATATATATTCATGTATGTTTTCACAGAGATGTCTATCATATGGGTTAGTTTTAAATTCCGGTTATATTTATATCACTGACCAAAATATTTTTTTTAAACTTCTTTTTTGAGAAATATTACACTCTGTCTCAGTTAAGGACACTTATATTAACAGTTCAGAGAGCACATTCACACCTTATATTACTGGACAATAATAGAGTTAAATCACAACTAAAAGTAGTTAATTTTTTTTCATGATCAATCTTTTTGGAAGCACATTTACAATTTATCGTATAGTAATATTTGAATGAAAAATGCTTTATTAAGTATACATAAATTATAAATTTCAAAAGTACACAGAAAATTTATACGGCATGATTATTCGCCTCCCGGAAATTTTATATGTTTTACAGGTACAGTACCTTTAAAAATTTGACAATTATTACATATACATGAATAACTGATAAATAATAAAACAACAAATACAATATAAAATAATAAATATTTATTATAATTTACATCTAAGAAATAATAATAAAGGAAAATAAGGGAAATCATAAACAATAACATGAATAAAACTGACCACAAATAAATTGGATGGATCATTGTCCTATGCTGGATGTATCAAATTAAAAAGGTGTATCCACGCATAACGAGCAAAACCGACAATTTTACGGCATTCGTTCACAGAGGGGACATTTAGAAGATAAATTAGGATATCACTTCGAACCGGGCTAGTTTTAAGAAATTCGATACGAATTTGACCAAGCATAGAACATTCAGCCAAAAATGGAACAGGTCTTGCTTTACTGGTAGGTTACACAGTGGAAATCCGTATATTCCCTGCCAAGCCACGGGATATAATTCAAATAAAGGAGTTCACACCTGAGCTTAAGCAACCAACTCAACCCGCGCCCTGTCAAATTCCAACAGCAGCTATCCACGAATTTCAAAATTTTAAGATCATGACTCAATTCCCGATACAACAGAAATCGATCAAAATTCAATGCCACTTATTTATACTGCTCCCAATGTTGCTGAGTGATTGCAGACCGTATTGTTGCCAACTGATCTTTCCATAACGAAAAGCATTACAAAGACCTGTCGATTCTACAAGAGTATCTTTCTCCCAAATTGTACCAATTTTTAAACCAAAAGATATTACGTTTAATCACTTCAATGGCGATAACTCTGGAGAGACGACTTTCAGACAGGCACAGTAACTAAGAAAATACTTAAAATGCACCTATAAAGTAAATATCTCAAGTGGATTTGTGGCTGTTTCTAAATAAATCATATTATTTGGTGCCGTTGGAGGCAACGAAAACAATTTCTTAATGAAAATCTCTGAAACTTTTCTAATATGTCATATCCCTGAAAACCCCAGACTTGAGTCGCATATCATACTTTGGAGCGTAATATCGCATCAAATATTTGAATTTTGGCGGATAGTAGGATTAGATATCGAGCAATGAAACTTGACCATTTCCTATTAAGGCCCATATTAGCAGCCGATATACGATCTCTCAAACGTTAAGTAAATGAAAGACTGGAGTTCAGTGTGGCACCTAAATATTTTTAGGTGCCCAGGGATAACACCTCTTCAAGATATCTCCTATCTGTTTTTAGACTTTGATCCCTCCGCCTTTTTTAGAGAATAATTATTTCATTAAAAGCGTTGGAGTATTTTTTTTTTTACAACCTCAGTTCCTAGTGCATTAGTTTTCTCGTAATCGAATTTTGTACAATGAGAGAGGTTTGATAGGAATTCATTTGAGAATATTTTAATTCATTTTCAAAGACTGAGTAACCTTTTGTGCCGTGAAATATAGTTACTACAACTTTTATTGTATGAATTCTTAGAAAGCTCATTTCAAAACTGAAATGCTATATATTATTCAATTTATATAAAAGCTTTTTTTTAATATCAAGCTCGATGTCCCAAAACGTGAAGAGACTCCTTTATTAATTTTCATCTGCGAAATTCGTAGAGTCCTTACTAGCATTCAAGCAAGCTATTTCGATTTTGAAAAAATAGTATTGAATATTTGACTTATTACCGGCAAAGTCAACAATATCAAGTACAATGAAATAAAGCAAATTGATTAGTTAAATTATACAAAATTAATAAATGTACTCAACATCGTTGTTTCAGTAATGTGAATTTGATAATCTTTCAATCACAATATTTATGATTGAAAGTTTGTTGAACAATTTAAAAAAAAAATTAAAATTTATCCATTATTTAATACGATCGCCATGCACTCTGTACTTGGTTAGCTGTACTTAACTATAATTTCGGGAGTTAGTAGCAACAGCCTGACTACTGTATTTTAAAAGGCATTGGAAGGTAGTATATAATTTTATTTCATAATATTGTTTACTCAAGAAAATAAATATAATACTGATGAGTTTTATTCATTCGCATAATTTTTGTTAAAAATTAACTTCTGTTATCGAGAATCGTGTTTTTCTTCGAGAAACATCAGGCAAGGTAGTTAACTCGTGGAAGGTTATATTCTGTTGTGATAACAGTAGTGTTTACAGTAGTGTTGTGTTGTATTCGTTTTTGTTTTGGTATTCAGAAAAATGACTCGACATGCACGTAATTGCACAGCAGGTGCAGTATATACATATCATGAAAAGAAAAAGGATGCAGAAGCATCTGGTTATGGAACGCAAAATAGACGTGTTGGTAAAGACTCTATTAAAGATTTTGATTGCTGCTGTTTAACGCTTCAACCTTGTGCCAATCCTGTAATTACGTGAGTATTATTTTATTTCTATGACTGTAGTATTCAAAATTAGTCAGTTGTGCCTGATATTACAATTTTTATTTACTATTTTTTCAGATCAGATGGCTTTTTATTCGATAAAGAAGCGATTATTCAATACATTATATCGAAGAAAAATGAAATCAGCAGAAAACTTAAGGAATTCGAAAAACAGAAACGGAGAGAACAGGTTTCTTTATTTTGCTTTTTAATACAATTGGATGGTTTCTTATTCTGTTCTTATTTTCTTAAATATCTGCCATATATTCTATTGTAACAAGAATAGCAGCCTGTTTTGGTTTTGTACCAAACCTTCCATTACTGGTTAGATGTTTGGGTTTTAATTGTGACATTCATTTGTAATCCTAGACACTACTGTGTTAGGTCCACTACTTTCAGTGAGAAATTTGTTACAATTATTTGTCCATCTAATCTCTCACAGGTCAAGATTAAACTTTTCTTAAAAAAAAAAGAAAAAGAAAATGAATGTTTTGACCATTAACAGTCTTGAAAAATATTCTAAGATATCAAACTATTTATACAACTCTTAGTGTGACATTAGCATAAGGATAGCTGAAAGAAAAACTTTAGAAAATTTTATATACAAAATTTATGAAGTTAAAACTGTAATTCAAACAATTTGTGATGTACTGATCATTTTTAGGCCGTATGCTAGGACATAAAAACATGTACAGAGCTTTGTTTAGAACAGAGCATATGTGGTTTGCACAATTAATTTCCCAAAGTTTTGAAACCATTGTCCATAAAATTCAGCCAGAAAAAACTAATTGATTTCACATTGGTCTGTTAGTGGTTAATTCATGGAGGATTTCTTGGTAGTTTTATAAATGAATACATTTAAAGCTGTTTCATGTCTTTTTATTTGAACTCCTATTATTCAAAATAACATCTTTTTCTTTTTTACGGAAACAGGGAGCGAATAAAAATGATGTTGAACGTGATAATAACATTTTCTTATGATTTTAGATATATTGAATGTGGATATAATTATGTTTATGTTTTAGGCTGAACTAGAAGAACTTGCTGAAGCAGAAAGGCGATCAAAACTTAATGACTTTTTAAAAATTGAAAAGAATATTGTCAGCAATCAAAGTAGTAGTTCAAAAGGTTTTATTTTTTCATTATTTGTAATAATTTTTAGTTTATGCAACTTCAGCATTCATAATAGTAGATATTATTTTCTAGAAAGGAAAAGTGATTTACCATCTGTTTCAAATATGACTGAAGGAAGAGATAAGAACCTCCCAAGTTTTTGGATTCCATCAAAAACACCTGAAGTAAAATTAAAAAAGTTGGAAAAACCTGTAAGTTTTTCTTTATTTTCATTCATGAAAATCAGTGAAGTAAATTTCAAACTGATTTATTTGGTAAATTTTTTTAAAAACAACATTGACTAGAAGGAATGGTTAGACAGTTAAAAGGATTTAGAATTTTGTAATTTTAAAATTGTCTGCACCATCATATTGTTGAATTTTATCCTGGTATCGTATAAATCATAGATCTCAATGATAATTGATTTGTTCTTTATGTTATTCAATAATTGGTCGTGTTCAACGACACTTCTTTATAACAGGTGGATTAATTGTAGTTGCTTTTGTTCATTGTAATTGATTTTGTTTGTGTTACAGGTCTGTTCTATTAAATATTGTAAAACATTTTTGTTTAGATTATAACTCAGCTTTCAACATTCTTTAAATTTTAATTGTTATCGAACTATGACATGACCATAGAGAGGGTAATGTGTTTCGCTTGTCCTTTCGTGGCAATGTAACATTTTTTTTTAATTAACTATAACCCATTTTCGATTTTGATGGCTCAAATTGATTGGTACCATGATTATTTTGAACAAACACATTTTAGCTCAATCTACTGAGTAAATATCCTATTAAGTACTTTTAGTCTGGCCATGTGTTGCTTTCTCGTTTTTTGAGCAAATGATTTTATTATAAATTTTTTAGTGTGATGGTTCAAATTACTCACTGCCCCCATTAATATTCATATCATCATATCCATTAATCATCATATCCCATTAATTATTTAGATTAAATTAGAGTTTAAAATATAGAAGAAAAAATTTATTATATCAGATGTACTAAATTCTTTTTTTTTTTTTTCGTTCCTCCCCTTCCTCGCCTTTAAGGCTATACGGGGTTCTCCTGGGCCAGGAAGTGTGGGCGGGGATTTAAAAGACTCCCCCGCCACTGGGATGCGAACTCAGAATTATTTTTCATCGTTGTCTCATATGTCAGGTTGCCGGGCAACGGCGGTGCTGTGCTCACTCGTTAGCCCATTCGGCCGCCCCACCCACAGGTGTAGTAAATTCATGATCATAGGATATTAACTTAAAAAACTGAAACTTAAATTAAAAATACTTGAATTTAAAGAAGTATACTTTGGAGACAGCTCTCCCTTATAACTCTATCGGTCCTAGGGAATTTAGCGGTTGTACAAAGATCGTCTCTACTCCTCAAATCTATCGCTCACTGTTCTTTCAAGCTTCCTCGGCCAGTAATTATTTTAATTATGCTTCAATATCTTTCAATCAATATCATTCAATCAATATCATTCAATATGTGAATGATTTTTAATTATTACATTTTCTTTATTTTAATCCATCACAAATTCTTTAAAATATCTCTTGTTTCAGGATAAAACCGTTTATTGCCCAATGACCAATAAACCTTTGAGGTTAAAAGATTTAATTGATGTTAAGTTTACTTTAGTGAAAGACCCTGATGATAAAAAATCTTTGATTATAAAAGAGAATAGATACATGTGTGGTGTTACTCATGATATTTTGAGCAATGCTGTGCCTTGTGCTGTAATAAGAACCACGTAAGAACCTTTTACTTATTTTAACGTTTTTAGTTATATAGTTATAATAAAATTCAAATACTTTTTTTTGGTTCCATTTTGTTCTGATCTTTGCTCTTCTTCTTTTGGCCAATGTTTTCTTATTTGTGCCTCCTTATATTATAATTTCTTCTCTGTTTCCATCAATAAAGTCATCCATTGCTTTACTAACTCTTTCTGTTGAAATTTCTCAACCCATTTGCACGATTTTCCTTTTTTATTCATTTATAATCATTCCTTTCCTTTCAAGATTAGATTTCCATTCCACGACTCCTTTCTGTAATGCTTGTGCTGAGTCTTCTAAGAAGACAATATTGTTGCTTTATTGAAGAGCTTAGGCTAATATTGTTCTCACATTCCATTTATCTAAGTTCTGGACTTATAAATTTTTAGAATATCATCCATATTAAAGCTTTCCGCACTTCCTCTTTGATCCTTATTTTACTCTTAAAATCTTTATATGTTGATTGTATAGCTGGGATAAGGATCCCGAAACTTTCTTTTTTTTCTGTACATTCCATTGCTCTTCCCTTGGCACTGAATCAAATGCTTTTTTTTTGTGTTTCTAAAGGTTATTTTTACTTTCAGTTACCTATGTACGTAATATTCAGTTACCTATGTAATATGTAGTAAGGGAAGGTATTGCAATGGTGAAAATGTCCGAATTTGAGTTTAAAAAGGAAATACACTTTTTGCGTGCGTGCATGTGTGAACAGCGTAGCTCAAAAACGGAAAGTCGTACGAAACTGATATTACGTAGTTAAGGTTTGTATATGCCTCGGATGTTACAGTAACTTTTTCGACAAAATTGGCAAACTGGAAGTGGCACTTTATATCAACGATGTTACATGTTTTCTCAAAAAAGGCTCTAACGATCTTGATACTTGATATATCAGTGTATTATTAAGTTGTTTTTAATATCAGCTGGGTCTTATCCACACCTATGTCACTTTACAGGGTCTAAATGCCCAATGTTCATATACCTCTTTTTCTAAAGTACCTTTAATTTGGTTTATTTAAAAAGATATCTCTCTTATTGAGAGCAACTATAAGAAATGGCTAACTATAAAGTATGAAAGAATTTTATTATTGGATAATAGAGAAAAAGGGGAAAATGTTTATCTAGGTCGAAAATGAATCTCTGGAAATACTAGTTAGTAGGTATAATAGATCGTTGGAACACGGCGGATTTTAGAAAAAACAATATCTAATATAGAAAGTCGTACAAGATAATGGAGAGTGACAAAAAAATATAAATAATAATTTGTATAAACAAACTTATAAACTTATATAAATTAACGGGAATCACATGTTTTCAAGAAAATTAAAGAAATATACTTATAAAAACTAAAATTTTAAAATTTGTTTAAGTATTTAAAATCCATTGAATCAAGCCAATGACATTTTTAAAAAACTATTTTATTGTAATTGTGTGAAAGAATTAGTGAAATATAAAAATATTTCATGGATGTGTAAAACATAAACTTATACATTTACTGTAGTTTTATGACTCTAGATCTGATATTATATTTAAATAAATATGTATTTATCTTCAATTTATTCCAAAAAATTTTTCTTTGTGAAATTACAACATTATATACTTACAATTACTGTGACGACTTTTGACCTACCGATGCTGTATTTAAAAGCAAGTAACTGTATTTTGGTATGTTTTCCAAAGTTAAAAAATAAGAATTTAAATACATGTAAAAAGTGATAACATATTTAGTAACTATAATTTATAGTATGTAGTATGATCCTTACTTGTTCATAATTAAATATATGAACTTTCAAATCACTCTTTATCTATAGAGCTCAGAGACTGAAGTTATGTGATTTAAATTGACCGATGCAGTTGCATCTAAGGTTTTTATAGGCTACAATCGATATTATAAATAGGTTTTATGTTATTGTGACGGTCTTAATGAGTTTTTGTATTGATGAATATGACCTAAATTCAAAATATATGTTGTTTAAAGTTTAGCTGCATTAAAAATGTGCTTGAAAAACTTCTTGTAATAGCCCAATTTCGCGAGACAAGAATTGCTTTTCGAAGTAGAGCGGTAAGTGAAAGTTGTGTGAGCGAGCGCAAACAAGATTTTTCTTGTTCCCAAGCTTTTTCTGATTATCCTCAGGGCTTATCTTAATAGTCCGAAAGTTACCTGTCTTTTAATTGGTTTTCTACCAAGTTTCTCAATCCCCTCTCAAGAATTGCTGTAAAAAGTCTGTACTCAACTTGAGATAAACAGATAGGCTTTTTGGTGCATGCAGTTTTGGCATTCAATCTGACAGCCATTCTTGAACATATTCAAGACCCATACGTTTGATGACATAAGATTTCTATTCTTTGAGTTTCCTTTCCTTTTTTTTTTTTTTTTTTTGTTTCCTATTTTTAAAATAGAGCTTGAAGTATCCTTTGTACCCCATATTTTATTGTCTGATTCAAGTGAACTATAATCTCTCTCTGGTGCTTTTCCTGCTTTTAGTCTATCCATAGCTGCTTCTACTTCTTCCCACACAATATCATCATATTCAGCATCTTCATATCAACTGAAATTTCTCCAAAGTCTTCCCATAATCTTTTTCTTTTCTTTTTTCTTCAATCTTCTATATTTTTCTTATTCTTCTATGCATAGTATTTCTATTTCTGGTTTTTTAATTCATAAGGTGTACCTTCAGTGATGAAGACGGGATGGCCGAGCACATTGGGGAATGAGTCCCAGAGTGCCCAGTTCTGAACCTTGTGGGTTCAATTCCCACCTGGATGAGTTACTTTTCATTTCTCGGCAGGCTCAGGAAATGGTTCGTGACATTCCCACTCTGTTAAGTACGCAGAGAAAATCTCAAGGTAGCCGTCGGGGATTGGCAAAAAGGACCACTTGCTGGGTTAGTTCCTCCCTCTAGTACCTTCAATGATGCTATCTTTCTTTACTTTTTTTTTGTCCTCCCCTTCCTGGCATTTTAGGCTATACTAGGTTTTCCCGGGCCAGAAGTGAGGACATGGGATTAATGTTAGAGTTAATTGCCCTCAACACCGGGACGTGAACTCATAATTATTTTATCATATTATTTTCCATCAAGTTGTTGGGTAACGTGTGTTTTGTGTTAGCCTGCTCTGCCATCTAGCCTCCCACATCGGTTAAAATTAACGCAATGTTCTTTTGAGGAAATTGTGCAGACTATCACAGTCAATTCAGACTGTTTTGTGAACATGCTAGAGGAATTTTTTGCCGCAACTTCATGAAACAGACTTGAATGATATATGGTTTGGAACCAAACTTCAAGAGCGTGGATGGCTATGTTTTGAGAATACTTCATAGAGTGCCTCATCTCATTGAGGGAGGATTAAAATGGAGGAAGAAATGGCCTTCATACCTATCCATTTCGAGTGTATAGATAGTGGGAGACATCGTATATCTGATATGATTTTTAAAACAATGTAAACTACAACTTTAAATGTTTAAGAATTGAATAAAATAAAAAAAAGAGGTAACTTTACTACTTTTTGTTTTTATAAAAATGAAATAAGAATTTATAATAATGACATTCAAAATAAGGAAGTTAGCATCTCGCACCCTTTGCAAGACTTTATAGGTAAGGCATTGATATACCATTCTCGCTGATTCTAATGTGCTTGATTTTATATTTTTCTATGTTATGAATGTAGTCTTTGCTTCTTAGTTTCAAAATTTTTCATGCTGTTGTTCTTTGTCTTCTTCATGGCCTTGAATCATGCTAGTATGCTATTCTGTGGTTAATAATAAATTTACGTGTCCATAATAAAGAAAAGTACATAGCTTGTTTTATTCTCTCCAATTAATGTCAGTGAACCAACCTGTGATTGTATACAAAGTAGTCAAAAATGCTGTTTCTTTTCTGTGCTGAAGATGCTATTTTGTGTATTGTCTTCTCAGAAAAGGAGGAGTTACCATACCATTTTTTTTTCCCCATTTCTAATAATAAGTGGTGGAAAGTCGGCTTGGTTGTAACCTTTATTGTGTTTGTAGAAATATGAAACATGAAAATTGTATAAAAATTGCACTTCTACATTTTATTAAATAGTATCAGAGACAGGTGGAGATGAAGATTAGTAACGAGTCCAAAATGGAAGACAATATCTTGAGTAATTTTCACCCAGAGTATTTGAAAATATAGCACTCTTTTGCTGTAGAGAACATATCAAAGCCACTATTTGAATAGACGTAAACCTGTAATAATTTTTTTATTGGTATTTCAATTATTCATTCCATTATTTTATCAAATTTATTCAATTTAAAAGGTCGAGTAAAAAAATTGAATCTAAGTTCATTTTTCATTTACTTATGTTTAAAAAATGTAATGTAATAGTTTTATTTTTTATTTTTTAGAGGTGATGTCGTTACAATGGAATGTGTTGAAAAAATTATCAAGAAAGATTGGATTCATCCTCTCACCGGTGAAAAACTTACTGAAAGAGACATTATTCCAATGCAAAGGGTATATTTTGTACTTTTTGATTTCTTATGTGTATAAAATATTACAAAATTAAAAACAAAATAATTTTTAGGGAGGAACTGGCTATGCACATACGAATGAACGCTTAGAAGGAAAATATGAACGTCCTGTCCTCCAAGCATAAATATTTTGATTGTTCCATAGTTTTTCTAACCGAAATAATAATTGACCACCCATATCTGTCAAATGAGATATAATTTTTAAGGAGATGTGAACACTTGGATTACTTTCTGTTCTTTAATTTTTATATGTATATGTTTACTGTAAATTAATTTATTGTAAAAAATGTAAATATATTTTTATAATAAAAGAGAGAATGTTTAGCAACACAAAAAATCATGAACATTTTTATCTGAGTTAGTTACCCTTCTACCACAAACATTTCAACAGTTGCTTGAATTAAAAATAGTTATATAGTTTTTAAAGAAGCTATATTTTTCATATTTATTATCACATATATGTACCTATGTATGAAGTACACAGTAAGGCAAAGTATTGTGTTTATGACAAATTTTGAATGTGAGTTATCAACTCAGATTTAATGGAAATACAGGCTTTAAGTTCTATATAGCCGGGGTGCCCATAAGGGGGTTTCATGGCGCAAGTTGGGCTATCACAATTTTTGAGGGGGGCACATTTTTACAGGATTTTGAATTTTGAGGGGGACAAATTTCAACGGAGTTATGAATTTTCAGATTGAAAAATTTCAAATTAGGAGACTAAGAGAATACATGGAGCAAACCTCAGCAAGTGTAATTGAATATGATTTACGGTACTTCTATTTTTAATGTTTTTAAGAATAGGGGGGATGGACATTCCTGCTCTATAGTCCAAATAAAGCATGTCTTGCAGAATGGTATATATGTACATACATACTCTTTACATAAACAGCTTAGCTCAAACAAACTAACCTGGAATGTTATAGCAACTTGTTTGTCAAAATCGACTAACCATAAGTGTCACTTCATTTCATCGACTTTATTCATTTTTCTCCAATGATTTTGATTAAACCCTTGGTGTCAATGTAAAATTAAAGTATTTTATATCATGTAGGCATTAATCTAATTTAAATAGTTAGATAGCTTTTAAATGCCAATTTTTCCAAATTTCTCTCTTAGTTTGTCTATTTAAAATAATTGATGGTCTATTGTGGTAAAGTACTTAAATAATTAACAGTCTAGAGTAATAAGAAATAGCTAGATATAAACTATGAAAACATTTCATAAAGTAACAAGGAGAAACATTTTCTGAGGTTAAAACATTTTTTTTATTTTTTTTTTTATATTTTAGTGAACTAAACTATTTTATAAACTTTCACAGTTATTTTTAAGCTTGAAAAACTAAAAATATACAATTTATTAAAGTATCATTATGGAATTATTTAAAAACTATTTTATTCTACTTTTGTGAGGGAATCCTGTGAAGGAGTGCATGCCATGGTAAATATTAAAAGCAATGTTTGATTTGGAATTGTTTTATCTAAAGGTCTATCTAATAAATATATTTTATTCTTAGCTACTATTACTAACAACATAATTAAATCTAATGATTCTTTTGAAGGGAGTATGAAATTCGTCAGAGTTCACGCTAGAAGAACAGCTCTCCATGGCAATTCTCATGAGTCTCCTTCAGATTGTTTACACACCACCAGGTTCAGAGAGGGGTGAGGAAATGAAGTATCTCAGAAGGAAGTATGATGCCACGTCTCACCTATAATACTTAAGGGATAGGGTGACCCTGTTGATAAATTGGCTAAGCAGGATATGGGGCGCGTTTTGAGGCCTGAAATACCCTGCTACTATGATTATTTACAAAGGCGTGGTTTAGTTATCTTGAGGTACGCATCTCTTGCCTGGAGCGGAAACCTCACGAAGCAGCAGGAGGTTGTCCATCATTCAGCGATTGGTTCTGCTGAGAGTCGCAAAGACTGTCTCGCTCGAGGCACAGGTGTTGACCTGGCGATGTCCCTGGATTTCGTTCTTTGGGAGGATTTACTGAAGTACGATGTTAATAGGAAGTGGTTAGTTGAGGAGCTTTCGAATGGACTCCGGTGTAAGGTCAGTGAGACCTCCAACCAGTGTTCTTCCACTGAATTGTATACTGATCATATGTATGAATCTTATACTAAATATTCTACTGATCGTAAAGGAGGACTTCATCGAAGATTAGAATGTGCGGTGGGCTGCTTGCCAGAGGAGCGCAACATTGAGAAAGTTATTCTCCATCATCTGAATCATCATTTAAATTGGTTCTCCCAGTCTATTAAGTCACACAGATCCTTAAAGGACATAGAGGATTCCTGGGGAAACTAGATGCACTTAGTAAGAATCACAGGCGGATCTACGGAGGGGAGGTTTTTTGGGTTGAAGCTCCCTTCCTCCAAAATGGTAAAATATAATCATGTTTTATGGATAAAAATATTATCTCTTAAAGTATTATTGTTCGTGTAATTACATTTAAAAGGACTTTGAGAATCACTTAAACACTATTTCATATAGGTAGTTAGTTTCTTTTTTTACCAAAGTAATTGTTATTTTTATGGAAAAAGCTTTCGTTCTGAAGCTCCCCTCCCCCCAAAATTAAATCCTCAATCCAATTGTTTTAAGACTGTTGATCCCTGGTACTCCCCCTTTGGAGTCCCTTAAACGGCGGAACATGCTCTGATATTCTGTACTACCATGGATGGACGCCGTGTCAGCTACTCGAAAGCGGTGCAGACCATGACAACATGCTCAACAGTCTCCGGAACACCACAAGCGGAACAGTGGGTGTCTATATCCTTCCGAAGCCATGTAGTTTAGCTCTAAAACCTCCATTCTCCGTGAAAAATTGTGAAATCCGGTTCGGGAAGATCCATTTAGCTTGTAACCGAGATTGAACGGTGGAGAAATATTTTCTTAAGTAAGGTACTCCACTTCCGAGTCGTCACCCATCGTCTGCTCCACTCTTCAGTTGTTTTCTCATAGATTATCCTTTTCCATTTATTAGAGTTTTCAATGATCCTCATACAAAGTTCTCCAAAAGCCCCGCTAAGCCCTCCTTCTTTTAATCACACCTAGTCACTTCTTCTCAGAGGAGGAGGAGGCAACAACACCGCTAGGACCTACACTGCTTCATGCGTCATAGACCTAAATATGCTACAGTGACTCGAGGCAGAGCTGTCCTGGAGTCCAGAACAGATACACATACCTCAGCATGACCTCCGCCTTTATAAATAGTGATTGTTGGATACTTGAGGCCCCAAAATGCGCTCCACACGAATAAGTTTTTATTTTTTCTACATTCAAAAAGTAATATTTACAATCAGTGGCGATCTTAGACATTGAAGTTATCTCCCCCCGCCCCCAAAAATAAATGTATTTCTTAAGCTGTTTTGTATTATGTAATATTTGGATTTTATTTCATTCAACCTTTCTCGAATACAGTTGCTTTATTGATAAGACAAAATTAATATATTGTTTTTAATTTCTAACAATTGGCGAGCGTCCCTGAATATGTGGCCCCGGTTGCCCCATTATAAGGTCGGCACTGTGTACAATTATAATTGCGTATAAATTACTCTAGTTTGCCCTGACTGATCGTGGTTTGTACCATACTCTAAAAATGACACAATAGGTTTATTAAAATATGTGATGAATACTTTTTATTGAAGTCTATTTGCTAAATATCTAACAAAAACACCGTCTTTTTTTAAATATAACTAAATACTGGGGTCAGTAATTTGTCGAAACTATTGAGTGCAAGAGATAATCGAATAGAAACATAAGTTCTTATTTCATATTTTTATGTCTGATTAAAAAAAATATCTATATTGACTTCCGCAAATCAGTTTCTGAATTCTCCATGGTATTTAACTTTATTGTAATTGTATTTAAATGACGCAGCATTGCACCTCTCGGTGAGTTCCACATCTACTCTCGACAGGAATTCTCGGAGGTCTTTAAACGTTTAAGTTTAAAAGCTTTACTCTCGAGACTATAACAGAGTTTTATTCTGTTTTAATATAGAAGAGTTTTCTCTGCCAATCTTGAGAGATTAAAAAACTCTAGTCCAATTACTGTTTATTTCTCTTTAACCTTTTTTCCCTTAAAAACTTTAATGAAAGCCAGTTAAACTTTTACCATTAACCTAGAACTGGAAGAGCCTGGACGGATGAACAGAAACAGCAGCACAGCGCCCTTGTGAAGGAGCACTGGAGGAAGAGGAAACTCCATAACAAATAAGAAATGAAACCGTAGCGTGATCCTAAGTGGTCAAGTCACAAAAAAACTAAACATGTAAATCAATTTATTTCCAAGCATGAGGAAACAGGTAATGACCACTTTCCCAGTGATAATAATTTGATTTGGCATATTTTTGATCTCCTGTTCACTGCTTTAATTAATTATAAATGTATCTTATCAGTTTGACACTTCTATTGCTACTTAAGGGTACACAAGACAAATCTGAAACAGCCTGTGTTAAAAATAAAGAATTGAACAGGGAGGTATTAAAACACATTAATGAAAAAAGGCCAATTATATATATATACACACACAGGATGTTTCAGAGTTAAGTGGCCAAACTGCAAAAATGAACTAAGGACCTTAATAAAAGAAAAAAAATTGCTTTGAAGGTATGTCCGCAAACGCTTTGTTTAGGAGATATTCACATCTTAAGATTTTCGTTGTTATGAATTATTTACGTTATATGAAATAAATAAAACCTATTTATTTGTTCTAACTACTTTATTAATTAAATATAAACATTAAAATTCATATTAAATGTTCAAAGTGAAGGTATGTCCGAAAACGCAATATTTTAATAGGTTCGCATTCTTGTCGACTCGACTCAATGCAGGCACATTGAAATGCTTGGAATTTCTTAATAACGATTACTATGATGGTTGTCCTGCCAATTACGGAAGAGGTCTACGACAAACTTAGATATTAATTATCTCAATCAATGGATTGGTCGTACAGGCTCTCCAGACATGACACCACCAAATTTCTAAACTTAGCACAGAGCTCATCCTGTTTCATAGCATCGAAAATATATTAGAAACAATAACATATATCCATTGCCGTTCTGCACGGGCAGATCTACGGGGGAGGGGGCTTTCGGGCTGAAGCCCTTCCCCCAAAAATGGTAAAATATAACCATGTTTTATCGAAAAAAAATATTAAAAAGGTATCTCTTAAAGTATTATTGTTCGTGTAATTACATTTAAAAGGGCTTTAGGAATCACTTAAACACCATTTCATATAGGTAGTTAGTTTCTTTCTTTTTTTCCAAAGTAATTATCGTTATTTTTATGAAAAAAAAAACAACTTTCGGGCTTGAGCCCCCCCCCCCCCAAAAAAAAATAAACTCTGGATCCGCTAGTGCCGTT